CAACAACAACAACAACAACAACAACAACAACAGCACCAACAGCACCAACAGCACCAACAGCACCAACAGCACCAACAGCACCAACAGCACCAACAGGACCAACAGCACCAACAGCACCAACAGCACCAACAGCACCAACAGCACCAACAGCACCAACAGCACCAACAGCACCAACAGCACCAACAGCACCAACAACACCAACAACACCAACAACAACCAACAACAACCAACAACAACCAACAACAACCAACAACCAACAACAACAACAACAACAACCACAACCACAACCACAACCACAACCACAACCACAAACAACAACAACAACAACAACAACAACAACAACAACAACAACAACAACAACAACAACAACAACAACAACAACAACAACACCAACAACAACAACAACGACAACAACGACAACAACGACAACAACAACAGCAACAGCAACAACAACAGCAACAACAACAGCAACAGCAACAGCAACAGCAACAACAACAACAACAACAGCAACAGCAACAACAAGAACAAGAAGAAGAAGAAGAAGAAGAAGAAGAAGAAACAGAAGAAACAGAGGAAGGAGAAGAGGAAGAAAAAGAACAAGACAAAGAACAAGAACGAATGGAACAAGGAGAACAATGAGAGCAAGATGGAGAACAAGATGAAGAACAAGAACAAGAACTACAACAAGAACAAAAACAAGAAACAGAACAAGATCAAGAACAAGAAGAAGAACACAACCACAAGAAGAAATATAAGAACAAGAACCACAACACCAACAACAAGAAGTCCTTAACTTTCGATCATCCTTGATGCTACGCTGCAAGATCTTGCCCTTGATTTTCGAACAACTTTGATGCTACGCTGTCAGATCACAGCCTGATCTTGCAATCATCTGGGATGCTACCGTGTAAACATTTTGTCCTTAACTTGCAAATCTTTGTTGCTACAAAGTAAGATCTTGTCCTTAGCCTTCAAGCATGTTGGATGCTACGCTCCAAGATTCTGTCTGTCTTGTCCCTAACCCTCAAACATGTTGGATGATACGCTGTAAGTTCTTGTCCTTAACGGACAAGAACCAGAACAAAAACAAAAACCACAACCACAAGAACAATATCAAGAGCAATAACCACAACATCAACAACAGTAACAACAACAACAAAAACAAGAACAAAAACAATAGCAATAACAGGAACAAAAACAATAACAAGAACAAGAACAAGAACAACAACAACAACAGCAACAACAACAACAACAATCAGAATAACAAGAATAAGAAGTGCTAATAAAAAAACAAGAGCACAAACAACAATAACAACTTTAATAACAAGAGCAAAAACGAAAACCAGAACAAGAGAAATAATAGCAAGTTCTTGGAAGATCTGGATGCTACCCAAGAAGATCTTGTGCTTCGGCGTAAGATCGTGTGCTTTCAAACATCTTGAGCGCTACAGACTCAGATCTTGTCCTTAACTTTCGATCATCCTTGATGCTACGCTGTCAGATCGCAGCCTGATCTTGCAATCATCTGGGATGCTACCGTGTAAGATTTTGTCCTTGACTTGCCAATCTTTGTTGCTACGAAGCAAGATCTTGTCCTTAACCTCCAAACATGTCGGATGCTACGCTCCAAGATTCTGTTTGTCTTGTCCCTAACCCTCAAACATGTTGGATGATACGCTGTAAGTTCTTGTCCTTGACGAACAAGAACAAGAACCAGAACAAGAGAAAGAACCATAACCACAAGATTAGAAACAAGAACCACAACATCAGCAACAACAACAGCAGCAACAACAACAAGAACAAAAATAACAATAACAAAACACAATAGTTAAACAACAAGAGCAAGAACAGCGATAACAACATTAACAACAAGAACACGAACGAAAACGAGAACAAGAGAAATAATAACAAGTTCTTGGAAGATCTGGATGCTGCCCAAGAAGATCTTGTCCTGAACTCTCAAGCATCTTGTATGATTTTGGTTGCTATGGAGTAAGACTTTGTCCTTAACTTTCAATCATCTTGGGTGCTACGGTGTAAGATCGTGCCCTTGACATTCAATCATCTTGGACGCTACGCTCGAAGAGCTTGTCCTTAACTTTGAACATCTTGGAAGCTATGCCCTAAGACCTTGTTCTTGAATTACAAACATCTTGAATCTGGGATGCCACGCTGTAAGACCTTGCCCTTAATCTTCAAACACCTTTGATGCTACGGTGTCAGGTCTTGTCCTTAAGTTCTAAACATGCTTAATGCTACTTTGCAAGATCCTCTCCTTAACTTTCCAGCATCTTGGATGTTACGGTGCAAGATTCTGTCCTTAACTTTCAAACATGTTTGATGCTATGCTGAAAGGCCTTGTCCTTAACTTTCAATCATTATGGATTGTACGGTGTAAGATCTTGTCCTTAACTTTCAACCATCTTGGATAACACGCTGTAAGACCTGTCCTTAACTTTCAATCATCTTGGGTGCTACGCTGTCAGGTCTTGTCCCCAACCTTCAGACATGTTGGATGATACGCTGCAAGTTCTCGTCCTTTCCTTACAAAAACAAAAACCGCACCAGCAAAAACAAGATTAAGACTCTGGTCAAGATGGAGATTTTTCCTTCAACCAATCTATTGATGGTCGGCTTCAAAACTCCGCAGGGCCTGGTTTATAAGATTTGATATAGGTATGACGATGGAATTCAAACCCCCCACCAGTTAGAATATACCCTTTTCATCAATGATGACATGCTCAATAACCAAAGTTATAAGTTATAACACACTCAAAGATGTTATGACCCGCGAAACGGCGACTTACAAACCACGCTTGTTAATCACCTACTAAGGTAAACCATCATTAAACAACCCACAAAAATTACTAAACAGGTAGTCGTAAGTTCGCTGGCTGCAGGTGAGCGCTGGCCCTCAAATACAAACAATCTGGCCCTTTGTTTTTTCTCCGAAACAGCTTTTATACCTATGTTTCAATCGGTGCTTGAAAAAAAGTAAAATCTACAAAATCACTTTTTTTCCAAGATGGCATGTCTCAAAGAGCCGCAAAGTGCCAAAGCGTCACAGAGCCGCGAAGTCTCAAAGCGCCAAGAAGCGCCAAAGCGTCAAAGAGCCGCAAAGCGCCAAAGGGCCAAGAGGCACCAAAGCATCAAGAGCGCCAAGCGCCAAAGCGCCAAAGCGCCAAAGCGTCAAAGAGCCGCAAAGCGCCAAAGGGCCAAGAGGCACCAAAGCATCAAGAGCGCCAAGCGCCAAAGCGCCAAAGCGCCAAAGCGCCAAAGCGCCAAAGCGCCAAAGCGCCAAGCGCCAAAGCGCCAAAGCGCCAAAGCATCCAAGCGTTCAGGCTTTGAGGCTTTGAGGCGTAGGACACGCGCCAAAGCGCCAAAGCATCCAAGCGTTCAGGCTTTGAGGCTTTGAGGCGTCGGAAAAGCGTCAAGAAGCGCCAAAGCGTGCAAGAGCCGCCAAGCGCCAAAGCGCCAAAGCGCCACAGCATCCAAGCGTTCAGGCTTTGAGGCTTTGAGGCGTCGGAAAAGCGCCAAGAAGCGCCAAAGCCTGAAAGAGCCGCCAAGCGCCAAAGCGCCAAAGCGCCAAAGCGCCAAAGCATCCAAGCGTTCAGGCTTTGAGGCTTTGAGGCTTTGAAGCGTGAGGCGCCAAAGAGGCTTTGCAGCTTTGAGGCTTTGAGGCTTTAAGGCGTGAGGCGCCAGAGAGGCTTTGGAGCTTTGAGGCTTTGAGGCGTGAGGCGCCAAAGAGGCTTTGCAGCTTTGAGGCTTTGAAGCTTTGAGGCGTGAAGCGCCAAAGAGGCTTTGCAGCTTTGAGGCTTCGCAAACCTTAGCGGGCCTGATCCCCCATACTCTGAGATAAGATAAGATAAGATAAGATTAGATAATAGATAGATGGATGGATAGATAGATAGATAGATAGACAGATAGACAGACAGACAGACAGACAGACAGATAGATAGATAGATAGATACACACACAGTAAAGAATATATATATACACAATATTTTACTAGGCACTTGGCACAAGCTTTAGCTTTGCTTTGCCACCACATCAGCTTGACAGCTGTACTTGACCGCCAGCCCCACCAGAGATTTCATTCTGTTTTGCATTTTCTCCCCTCACCTGGATTCTTTCCATCTCGCCACATGTTGACCAGGGCAGTGCCCATTGTCCTGTTTGCCACCATTTTCATTTTCTTTTTTCACTATAATGCAATTTAGCGATGGCTGCGATGACTGCTGATTTTCTTGTGAACCTCCGCCTGGACAAGATCCTCCTCAAGGTCATGCACCAACTACATCTCCCACATCATCAGGCCTATCACCTGAGGACTCAGAGCTAATTCAACGACTTTGACAAACCCTAAGAAATCCCTCTCCTCCAAAGAAAGCTAGAACTGAACCAGGTTGGGAAGAATTGCTTGACTCCATCTCAGCAAAGGACATTGAGATCTCATGCTTGGACTATGCTCTCCAGCAAGAACTTCGATCATCTCCACAGGCTCGCAACACTCCAGAAGCACTACACTTTGACCCAGAGCAGGGCAAGCTCCAGAAGATTGACCTCTCAAAGACGCGACCTTTCACTGACACAACCACTTGAACCTCCAACATTAAAAGTCCAGGAAGCTCAGATCAAAGATGCTATCCTTCAGTACCACCAGACCACAATTGTCCCTAATCATTAACTGTTGATTCAGGCTTGCAAGCAAGTTTACTCCAATTCAGTCCTCAAGCAGTACTACACCCAAATCCAGATTGACACAATCGATAGCAGACTGAAGGCTTTGGAATTTCATTCTCACTTGCTGGAATGTGCACTCCTTGTCATTCCGTACTGAACGGGCAGTTTGCACTTAACTGCCTTGACGGGACTGAAAGTCCCGGTTTATAAGGCAATTGCTTATATAGCGGAAATTAGACCACAGGTCCTTGTTTATTTTTTCATTAAGCTCTCTCCAATTGTGAGGGGCTAGACAGTTTTGCTCATTTCCTTCAGCTAAAGCTCGCAGGGGCCGCCAGAGGCGTGCCGGGCCTCCATCGTTTTCTTTTGCTCCTTTTAAATTTCGTTCCCCTCCCAAGCGAGAGACAAGTGGTCACGAACCCGGCTGCACATCACGGGACCGATCTCCTCCTGGATATTGTATCCTTTTTCTTTTTTCTACTTTTTTTCGGTGGTTTGGGTTTCACCTTGCTCTTTCCACCCGGTCCCCTGTAGAAGGTGCTGGTTCATAGCTTATCCTTCAGGCAACAGATTCTCCTGCTTTATTCATGTTCTCTTTCACCATTTTGTTTCTCCAAAGGCTGACGGAAAGCTGCTGCTGACGTGTAGTTCGACATGAACTGCATAGCGCTGTTGAAAACATGATCATATAGTATAAAAAAATAAATATGCGTACCTATACATACATATGCATACACACATGACAACAACGAAAATGATGCCTTCTCATGTCTTAATACCTGGGAGCTTCTGGTTACATATCGCCGATCAGGTTCAGCAGCTCTACGCCAAGTCGAAACTTGATTTGTCTAGGTGCCGTGGAAGGGCGACGACGCCTTTTCCAACTCATGGGGACGCATCTCATTTCCAATCCAAAGAAACAAAACATTGATATCTGATGATATCCAATCAACAACATCAAATATTAATTGAATGACCAATTTTGTTGACATCTGCCAGCTTGAAGGCAAACGTTGCACATCCAACAACTTTGTCCTATGGCGAGGTACTTACCACTGGTGGAGCTAGAACCCCTGGATTCTCAGGTGCCAGCCGCAGCCATGGTGACTGCCAGCTCTGGGAAAAATCGAGATGTGTTAAGATCTTTCGATATGTTTTGATCATTGAAATACCATTGAATTATACCATGTCATTGGTATCTTTAGGTATATCTTTGGGTTTCGATATGTAAACCATGTATCATTTTGTATATTGGTGGTTTGTTGTGCCGGAGACCTTTTTTTTCCTGCTGAATGATGCTGTGTACTATGCCAGGATTACACTCACGAGTGGGATACACGCCCACAGGTGGGCCTTGACGTGATGCATGTTGGATCGGATGCGGGTATTGACTTTGCAATGGATGGACTCACTATGATAGGAGGTGGGCAAAACAATTTTTTTTTACTGATACCTCTTTGCGTTTGTTGTCCAGCTGTTTTTTTTAAAAAGGCTTTAAAACCAGCAGATGGATAAAGCAAATGGCAGAAACTGCGATTCACCAAAAAAACGTGATTCGAGGGAAAGGAGAACATCTGTGATAGCCCCAAGTAGGAAACGCATGATGCCTTGAAGATACCACAAGTGGACAGTTGCCACAGCCGATCACCCCGACAGGTCTGGTGCCAGGGCCAATTCTGTGTTTAATGCGGAGATGGAGAGGGCCAGGGACTCTGAACCAAGCAGTATCCGTATCCGCACTTTCTCACCCGAAGTTCGACATTTAGAAATATCCAAATGGGAAACTTTGCCATACCACGTCGTATCAAAATAAATTGTGATAATTTGGTAAGACATGATTTTGGTGCTTCCAAGACCCGGTTGCATGTTCAGTAAAACATCATCACGCGTGAACTTTGATACCTTTGGACCAAGGTTTGTCCATGTACTGATCACCCTGGTCACATTGGTGAAACTCCATGCAGCGGAAACATCGCCGTGGGGTGACCACTGTGGGAGATCTATGGAGATCTGGTATTTTTGGAGCCCCTTTACCGTCTTTACCGTTTTGGCCTTCTGAAACGGGTCTCACCGCATGCATCTCCGGGTGCGTGTAGAGACGCGGCGATGCGTCAGTTCTTATTGCTCCAGCCATCGATTTTCCACCCCGGTTGGACAAAACTTCGCCGCTCTTCGCCGAAGAAAAAATGGCAGTTGTAGACTTTGGGGTGTCCATGGGTGTCCTGAACTTGGGGTGCGATTTTCGCAGGTTTGGAGATCCCAATTCCAGTTTTGGTGAGGGAAACTGTGCGATTCATGGTCCGGTCCGATGACAAATGCCGTAACAGCATTCCGAAGCATCGATCCGTCGCCATCTACAGCCTTTAGGATTCCAGGAGTGGGTGCATTTACAGACAGGGAGAACAAAAGAAAGACGACGCGGCGTTCGGTCTGCAGCTCGATTGTATTCAATTAGAAAGGCACATTGCAGTGGAATGAGTGGACAGATTTTGCAGATGTACATCCATCCCATCCCATCCCATCCCATCCCATCACAAACGACCAAGGCCAGACTCCGAACATGGCCCAGCCAGTGAATGTCTTGTGCTCAGCTGATTTCCAGGATTTGGCCGAAAACCTAATGGGCATGGCTCAACAATGGGGTACAACTGGATCATCAACTGGCTGGTCATTTGGAGCATCAAACAGAATCAAACAATATCGTTATCGAACTATCCATTTCTTGGGGTAAATCATTCTGACTCATATACCCCAATGTAGAAAGCTTTCCGGGCACCTCCGAAGTTGTTGCAAGCCCATTTCGGTGTCAAGCCACGTGTCAGTTGCTTTCTGGTGATGCAGATTCTTCAGATTTTGGTGGGAGAAAATTGAGCACACTCTGGGAGGCACTGTGGGGTCTCCCAGACAAGAAAAGCAAAAGCACTCCACCGAAGTGCTTCAATATCGCGCCCGGGTCTCAGAGTCTTGGCTATTTTTTTCCATATTTTTTCATATACTTCCATCAGAAGATGAAATAACACGAGGCCCTGGTTTGGGGAAGTCTTACTGTATCATGTTTCCTGGTCTTGGGAAGGTTTCCTCCTGGTTTTTTGTGGAAGTTTTGGTCCCGATTCGCAGCTGCACTTAGCAGCCAGGTCCCGTGTACAAAAAAGCAGTATCGAACAGCCCCTGAGCTGCCGTGTGCACCCTGTGACGGTGCTGAAGGTGCGGGCTGTGCTTTGTCGATTTGTCGATGTTTTTGTGGTTGTATGATGTTGTACCATGGTATACTACCACTATCCACCATTTACATCCATTTACTTCAATCATAAATCATCACAAATCAGTACAAACCATTATGTGTAATTGCTAAGTAATTACAAATCATTCAAGATTTTCAAGGGATTTACCGATTTACCAAGGAGTTTTTGCTGACTGCCTTGGCTGCCTTGGCTTTTGCAGATTCTGGACGCGTACGTGCGACGGCCCGCCGGGGCCCAGCGCACCATCGGCACCCTGCTGGGGTGGATTAGCCGGAAACTGAAGCCGATTGCAGATTCTATGCAGATTGTAATCATCTTTCTGGTTGATCTGGTTGGTTTCAACTATATTCAACATATTTTCAACATATTTTCAACATATTCACCCCGCTTCGCGTGGGGTGGCCGCCCACACCGCAGGTTTATTTAGGTCCGTGAGAGGGGCTAAGGGTGGTTTTCCCCCGTGGGGGCTCCCCAAGCTAAGAATTTTAACTTTCCCCCCCCGTGGGGGCTCCCCAAGCTAGGGAATTTTCACTTTTCCCCCCCGTGGGGCCCCGTGGGGGCTCCCCAAGCTAGGGAATTTTCACTTTTCCCCCCCGTGGGGGCTCCCCAAGCTAGGGAATTTTCACTTTTCCCCCCCGTGGGGGCTCCCCAAGCTAGGGAATTTTCACTTTTCCCCCCCGTGGGGGCTTCCCAAGCTAGGGAATTTTCACTTTTCCCCCCCGTGACAGCTTCCCAAGCTATGGAATTTTCACTTTTCCCTCCCTTGGAGGCTCTCCAAGCTGCGGAATTTCAAATAGCTAGACAACGACGCCTAGATAGTCCCCCAAATCCCGTGTTCTTTGAATGTGTTTCCATGTTTTTGCAATGGTTTCCTTCAAAGCACGGTACTTTACACTTTTGTCGCCATAAAACCGGTCGAAAACATCATGTTCGACAATGCTTCCAATTCCCTTATCTCCCCAACCGTTGAAAATACCGCTATTTACAGTGTTTTCTTCAATTTTTCCATGTTCCAATGCCGGTAGCCAACTCCAACATATATATAAGAAATCCTTCCAAAACATTGTTTTTGACAGTGTTTTTCCAATGTTTCCAGTCAAACAGACGGTAATTTACACGTTTTTTGCCATAAAGGCAGTAAATCCTTCCAAAACATTGCTTTTGACAGTGTTTTTGTAATGTTTCCAGTCAAGCATACGGTAATTTACACGTTTTTTGCTATAACGTCAGTCCAAAACACTTGTTTTTGCAGTGTTTTCAATGCTCTGGCATCCAAAAACCCTGCAAAATCTTGCTATGTACAATGTTTTTTTCATTTTTGGCCGTTTTTCCATTGCCGGAAAGCTACCAAAATGACCCAAAATTCCATTTCAATACCCTCTTGCGCTCAGACACCCAAAAATCCTCGAAAAATGTCGAAAACACCACCGTATTCTGGTCTCGGTGCGAAACCGTTTTTGGCCCCCCCCCCAGCTAAAGCTGATATAGCGACTGCTATATTAACAAATGTCATTGAGCATTTAGTGTTGCTGTTTTGCCCCCCAATAAGCACGCCTTCACCGCCAAAGCGGTGTGGGCGGATTTTTAACATATTTTCAAGAGTTTTTCAGCTTTTCATGTTCCATCCTAGTTAGGCATAGGATGCCTAACTAGGATGCCTAACCAGAATGATGATCCCATTACCAAAACTTCCTAGAAATCTTCCCAGTCCTCACGTCATATTTGAGTCTTCTGGTGCGGCTGAGGTGAGGGAAGTGCAGTGGACATCACCGATAGCTTCCCTGTGCCCCACAAGGCATGGCACTAGTCTGACTGGATGATTTTCTGATTGAAACTGGGCATTTTCCACCAGTCCGAAGGTGTGGATCAAGCATGAGAAATACATACAGACTGGCCTTTTTTGGTTGTTACAACAGATTAAAACTCAAAAAAACATGGCACTTCTTGGGAGCCAGGTTTGACCAGGTTTGACCACAGCCATTTAAGTCCGATTCCTGGTGATACATCAATGCATCCCAGGACACCACCGACGAGGGCGTCGCTATCGATCAGGAACCCATGGGAAAATTGCAGGGCTTTGCTGTGCTAAGATTTTTGTGATCGCAACAAGAGAGTAGCTGAGTAGCTGAGTAATCTGGATGTACGTGATGTACAGATTTGAGTAGCTGAGCTCAGATGCGTTTGCCTGTGAGGATTACCACAAGTCGATGTTGGAGCTGAGACAGAAGGTCTCTCCACGTGAAGTGGTGGTCGGCTGGTTCTCTACTGGTGACGAAATCAATGCCACTTCAGCAGTGATCCATGCCTTTTATTGCAAGAAGGACGAGAAGGGCAGGGTGCGACTGAACATGACAATACTACCGAGACATACCGAGACATACCGAGACAATATTATCATCATGTCTCGGGGCGGTTTTGGACTTCTCAGTGGGACATGGAGACATTTCACAGAGATCTTCGCGCTCCTTTGGGAACTTTTTCTTTTCCCAATATCTCATATCTCATATCTCATATCTCATATCTCATATCTCATCCCTCTCTCTCTCTCTCTCTCTCTTTCTCGGACTTTCTAGATGCATTCGAGTCGAGCCGTCGACATCTTTTCCTCCGCTGCCATCAGAGGAGTCATCTCAGTTCAATCCCACAGCAGTTTTGCCGGGCCCTCTCCACCTTCTCATTGACACATCTCTGGTGCAGCAGTCGAGGCCTTGGTTCCCCAAATGGCGCAATCTTCGTCGCCATAAATGCTGTTTTTTTTTGTCAACTGGGAAAGACCAGAAAAGTGCTGAAAGCTCGATTTTTATCCATAGTTATCAGTGTTTGATATTTTTTGATGGTAAAATTAATTGAGCTGTAAACATCTATGATTTGATACTTTGACGGAAAGATCAGCTTGCCAAATCTTCTAAACACATATTTCATAACCTCAATTTTCTTTTTCTATAATTTTAAATTTTCCATATGGAAACATCATATATTAATTGCTATGAAGTGCTAACCTATAGTTACAAGACAATCATTACAAACATAAGTTCTCCTACAACAGCAACTATTTTCTCCACACAAAAATTGCCATATATTGGGGTATACCGTATACCCCTTTTTTGGACTGACCCAAATGACGTTTCTTTTTTTTTCATGGAACGATCACCTGTACATGCATATAATGGCCATGTACTGGGGTATGGCCCGCTTTTGGAATCACATCGATAGTGGGTTGGTTATATCTTGTTTAATATCTCCCATGAAATGTCACAAAATGTTAATGATATATCATGATATATCAATGATATCCCCATTCTGGTTGGTGTTACACCATCATTTTTTAAAAACACCCATTCAAATGATGGTGGTGAGTCATATCCCATAAATGTCCATGGACTGATGGTGGGTTTCCAGGTGACATGTCCCATCCGCACGGCATAAATATAAATCCATGGTTTCCGTGGTGAAACACCACATTTTTTACGGCAAGACCATCCTTTTTCATGGTGAAACTACAATTTTTCATGATACAATCACCATGAATCACCATTTTTTCATGGTAACATCATGATTTTACATGGTTGGCTCCAAATGTTTCATGATGAATCCAGCATTTTTCCATGGTAAACGGCGCCCCCAGGTCCTTCGGCATCAAGACCTTCGTCAACGTGCGCACCGCCGTGGCGGAGAACCTGCTGCAATTCCACGAGGTGCCACTGAGGGTGCAGACCTCCGCCGCGGAGAAGTGGCCTGGCAGATGGCAATGGCAATGGCAATGGTAATGGGTATGGCAATGGGTATGGCAATGGGTATGGCAATGGGTATGGGATGAGGATGAGGATGATGATTATGATGATGATGAGGATGAGGATGATGCTGGTGCTTTGAGGGGAAACATTACCCCTCAGGCATGTGGTTGGATCTTGTCGCTGCTTCGCGTAGCTAGCTTTGCAGTTCCTTTTTGTTTTTTGCGGCAGCATTTTGCTGTAATTTTTCTTGTCATTCTTATGGGTTTCAGGGCCGGGGGTTGTACGTTTCTTCGGTTGTTGTTTTCTTTTGCGATCTTTGCGTTTTGGAGGACATGTCTTTCTTTCGCGGTGCCGCCTCTTTGGCGCACTGCTTGAATCCAAAAGGGGCCGCAGCAGAGTATATATATATATAATATGGCAACATGTTGCTGAGAATCCCAAGGCGCTCGGGTCTGTTGAGAGCAAGCGACAGCGGAGTATTTTCTCGTTTCGCGTTTTGTTTTTTCGGCTTTGGGGTTGTTCAGCGGGGGTTTCGTGTTGTTTCATTAATTTGTGTAGGCTCCCCATGTTTGTTGTGGTCGGCATCCCCTGTGGTAGCTGACTGGTTTGCTGTTGCGCAAGCCAAAGCAGGCAAGGTTCGGTCTTTTCTGTTTAAAAAAAACACTAGAAATCAAGCCCCAACATGATCTGCATAAAAGGCTGCTGTGGTCAATTTTTTTCTCCTTGACCAATCTTGTGCCAACTTCTTCGCTAATTCACACTGTGCCACACCACCCCTCCACCCCGCATCAACTCACATCCTCCACACATATCTATATATATAATTATATAATAATATATATATATACATCCACCTCCGGCTTCCTCTCTTGACACCAGCTACGGGCACAATTTTGAAGAAAAACGCCAGATGAGCACAAATTTGGCACCAACTTGGCCACAGTTCCCCAAAAAAGTGTAACTGAAACACCCGTGCAGCAATTCACGCACGTCATCCTCTCATAAAACATGTTTTTCTAAAATCATTTTTGTAGGCGAGAAATCTGCAGAAGGTTTGTGAAAGGTTGGCGAAAGGAGAGTCTGCCAGGATCCCACCATGGCCCAAAATGGTCTAATTTGTCTTGCAATGTTTCCACTTCAAAACCCTTAAGTCTTTTCAACTTGTGTTTCCGTTGTCGGGCAATCTGTAAAACGACTTAGTATGACTTAGTCGAATGCTTCCACTTCCTCGTTAGAATTATATTATAAATTATAAGTGATGTTTCCAATGCAATCCTCATGTAAATGTAACCCTTTACTTTGTATAGTACGACATATGCACACGAAAAACATGATAACACTTCCCTTTCCCGAGTCTGGGACGCGAAAGGTTCGCGCTTTCGCGCGGCGAAACAACCATCCGATACATCCACATTAATTCGGGTACTTTTTAAATATGAGTATTGGAAGAACGCCATGGTATGTTTATTGTTTCCATCTTGACCATGGCAAAATTTTGGGACACAATGTATTTGAAGAACTATTTAGAATCTAGATTTAATGTGTTTTTGCACGTATTTAGTATTTAGCAATCCTTTTCCAGCAGTATTTGGTCATAACTCAAAATTGATAGTTTTATGGACCCAAGGTGAAACCAAACAAAATGAATGTTTCAGTATGGAAAAAACGATGCGAAACACTTGGAATTATGGGTACAGTACCCCAGTTTCAGTCAAACTCCTAAAATAGCATGAAGTACGATGAAATACTTGGGATTGTCTCTGCAAACACAAATGCCTGGTTTGCTTGAAAAAATCTAAGAATCATAGACAAATATAGAAAACCGTAGAAAACCATAGACCTTCTACAGGAAAGCATGGATACATATGGATACACCAGCCCGGTCCCCCGGTCCGATAAGTTTTCCCATCTGAGGTCGAGCATCTCTCAGTTGATGCATGCCAGAAGAGCGAACAGGGAAGCGCAGGCAAATCGAATGAACGCCAAGGTGGGCAACCGACATTTGGGTCAAGATTCTTGTAAACCCAGCGAATCCAACAGTTTATCGCTGTTTCTAACCATTTTTTCTCTACCAGGCAAGTCCAACTGAGACTTCATTGCCTCACCCAAGTGGACATTTTATGAAATTTCGGTGTCTCCTTCCTTTGGGTTTGTCTGAGAATAGGGCACGCCCAAATTTGACGCTGAATCATGATATTTGCCGTCAAACCTGCCTCACTTTTTTATTAATGACACTGGCCAAACACCATTTTCCGACACATCCCATTTTGAGACTTTTGAGACCTTTGAGACTTTTGAGGCCTTTGAGACTGGGTCTGAACATTGGCCATAATAGGCCATAATCACAGGCCCCCAAATTCCATAGTTGCCATAGTTCACAGAAAAAGGGCCACGGACAGGACATGGCGTCCCTGGATGGTCTGCAAGGAGGCCTCAAGGAGTTGCTGGGTGCTGGCCTCAGCGTTTTTTTTGGCCTTTGAATAGGGCCTTTTAAGAGGGATTTCGTACAGTTTCAGGGATTTGATCTGTTTCCAATGGATTCAAGAGGGAACATGAGGATTCGATGATCTTGATCCGTTGTTTTTCTTTTACCACTTTTATCCAAAACAGCACCTACAAGCCCTTTTCGAGACTGCCGGAGGCTTATCCCGACGCATCCAACAATACGTCAGAGCAGTCCAATCTGGAAAGGCCGCAGGGAGTTGCAGTCCCTCCCACACCGAAACAGATTTCCTCATCGCCTGATCGCTTAAATCAAAGTCGGTCTTAGGAGAGCGAGCCAAAAACATGCGGGTCCAATCTGTACACACTATGCATGTGTGATCTTGCAGGTCTCGAAGTCAAGTTAGTAGCATATCCATATCTTTCATTATCTTTCCATATCCATGTTGCTTCTGACATCGCTGAAGATGTGTCTTACCACCGCGACACACCGTGGCTCAAGCTGATTTTTTTTGTTGACGCCGCATATGCTTCTTGACGCGGCGAGATTCCAAGGCATTCTCCGCTTCACCAGTGAAGTCAATTCAGTTGGAATCATTTCAGAGTTCTCTGAGTTTTCACATGCATCTGGCTTTGGTATGATCCTTTTTTTGTCGATGTCTGTCGATGTGGTAAACCCAAATAGTCACCACCTTTTTTGTCATGGTTTTAAATGTCTTTAAGTGCATTTAGATGCTTTACATAGCGTGGAAATCGTAGAGGTATACCTGGAGTATGCTTGTGGGATTGGGCTTCCTCCAGCTGGAGGTAAAAGATGCACATCGAGGAAATAATCATCGATGGTTTCAAGTCCTACTCGACCCGTGTGCCTGTGGGACCCTTCGATCGGCAGTTCAATGCCATCACAGGTGGGGATATGGTGACAGTGGGGTGCGGAATAGACCAGAAATGGCTCGTCACTTCTAGTATTATCTAGTATTTAATATTATTTAATATTTAAATTTAAACATCATCCGTTCTTGGTTCTGTATAGTATAGTTTTGAGCCATTCCCATTTGGAGAGTTACTTGGAGTGCTGGAGTTGATTTATGACCAATTCATAGCTTGGCGTGATGTCCTCACATTTGTCCCAAGTTTGATGCAAACGGAGCACTCCATGCAGCTGGATACCTGACGTGATGCATCGCTTTGTGCATCGTCTGAGTCAGGTCTGAATGGTAGCGGAAAGTCGAACATCTTGGACGCCATTTGCTTTGTTCTTGGCATCTCCAATCTTACGCAGGTCCGCGTTGGAAATCTGTCAGAGCTTGTATACAAGCAAGGGCAGGCCGGCGTGACGAAAGCCAGTGTGACCATTGTCTTCAACAACGAGGACAAGCAGAACAGTCCTGTGGGGCAGCTTGGCAGTTTGGATTATTATAGTTAGATAATGTCAACTTGACTATGTGGGATTATTATTGATGGTATTATAGATTATGTTATCAAAGTTGACGCTTATATAACTACGGTATTGTAGAAAAAAAACCTGAACATTCTGGCAATAATGGCACCAGAACAGTCCGTTTGGAAAGCTGAATGTGGCGTTATTCTGTCACATATCGCTACACGAAGAGACTCATTGCACAAATTCAGTTTGTGTTTTCAAGAGAAAATTGAGTATGAATGATCGCAATCCAAGTCAGGCAATCATCAGAATCCACATGAGACATTGTTTGTTTTACATATTTTTACTAATTTCTGAGAGCAAAGCAGGTACGAGATGCACGACAAGATCATCATTACGCGTCAAATCGTCATCGGAGGCCGAAACAGGTATCTCCTGAACTCGCACAACGTGCAGCAAAATCAAATTCAGAATTTGTCCCTTGAGGACAAGAATACTGTTAGCAAAAGAGAGTGGTTCGAGGTCCAAGGTCCATGGACATTGCAACTGTTTAGTCTAGGAAAGGATTGAACGGTTTGATTAACATTGGTAAGCAGAGGTAGGTCCGCAAGTGTGGGAGCTCTCCTTGCAGATATAGAATCTCATTGTAGCCAAGCTTCGTTGAAAGGACATCTCCGTTTTGAAGTTCCTGACTTGGACCTGCAAAAAAACAGGCTAAGTCCATCTAAGTCATTCTAAGTCCAATGTTTGCCGAATCTGCCGACTGTTGGGTGCTCCTGGTCCACTGAGGTTTCATTCGGTGTCGCTGAATGTGAACAACCCCCATTTTCTCATCATGCAGGGTCGGATTACGAAGGTGATCAACATGAAGCCTCAGGACTGCCTGGATCCTGTAGGCTTCGTTGGAGAATTTCCCACTGGAAATATCACACATGATAGAATCTTAGACTTGTAAATATACATCACTTGAACTTTGTGTATGGTATTACTAAATTACATACATCATACGATGTGTGCATATTATATGATATATATATATAATATTAAATATAATATATATATAATATAATATATATAATATGTCAATCCAGCATTCACATGTTCATCCCTTTTTCCTTCAGACTGCCTGGTCAACTTGCCAAGTTCCGTGTGTGCACATGCAATGCGGCCCAAAGCGGGTGGGACGTGGCGGGATCGCTTCGAGCCATGAAAACAAGCGTGGCCGCTTGAGGATTGTCTGGCGTGGCAGCCATTTGGGAATTTCATAGAAGTTGGTGAGGTCACCAAGGTCATCTAGGTGAGGACACCTAGGAGTTCAACAGGTGGGCCCGTTACCAATCAGTTGAGATTGGTAGCGGAGCCCTGGCCGACAAGGCAGGGCAAGCTACTATGCCTGAGGGGGCAACGGAAGCTGCTTCAGGTGATGGTCAAAAGGAAAGTGTACAGACGCAATTGGCACAACTTGTGCCTTCATATGACCCTGGAGTGGACAGTGTAGAGACATGGAGTCAGCAAATTCAGCTGTTGTTGCAAGCATGGCCAGAAAACAGACTGGTCGAGCTAGCAACACGTATTGTGCTCAACACAAAGGGATCTGCATTTCAAAAGCTACAACTTCATCAAGCCGAAATTTTCACTGGTGATCAAAAAGGGATTGAGAAGATTGTGTCACTGGTAGGAGGTTCTTTTGGACAGGTGGAGTTAGAGAAACGTTTTGAGATTGCCGAGAAGGCCCTGTTTCGATGTGTACAGAAGCCGGACGAAACTGCTGATTCGTTTTTGGCCCGAGCCGATGTGGCTTGGTCAGAACTCCTGGCGAAAAAGATGTCCTTAGCTGAGTTGCAGGCGTACATCACTCTGAGGGGAAGCCGATTGACTGGGGATGACAAGAAGCGAATTCTGGTAGAATCGGGGGCTGAAGATTCTGGTGAATTGAAGATGTCCCGAGTTGCTGCAGCAGTTCGCATGTTAGGATCCTCTTTCTTTCAAGAATATGCGTTTGGGAAGAAAGACAAGACGCTCAAGACATATGATCACACAGCTTTTGTCACTGAAGAACATGATGATCAACATGATGACTGGTCAAGGTATGGGGATGAATGGTATGAGGATGAAATTGACCCGAGCATGCATGATGATGAAGACTCAGCCTTGATAGTCCAGTTTGAGAATGCCGTAGTTGACAGTGTACAGGAGGATCGTGAGTTGTCCGCATTTTTCTCATCATACCAAGAGGCCAGGAAACGACTGGTGGAGAAAACACGTTCTCGAGGTTTCTGGAGCCACAGCAAAGGCAAGGGTTCTTTTGAAAAAAAGGGCTTTGGAAAACAGAAAGGAAAAGGGTTCCGATCCAAGTCACTGGCACAGAGAATTGCAGAAAGCTCATGCAGGCGCTGTGGAGCCACAGGCCATTGGAAGGCCGAGTGTCCACTGAACCAAACTTCTAATAGTGATGGTAAGAATGTGGTGCCCACCTCCATTGTCATCGATCATGAAGCAGCCGCTGTCACCGTTGTCGAGCCCAATGACGATGCCGATACGTTCAGTCTGCTGGATGACATGGAACCATGGCATGACCCAACAGAATCTCGGAACCTATTGGAATGGTGTTTTGGGGTTATTAATGCGGGAATTGCAAAAGGGTATAACTTTCAAGATAGCCTGAAGAAGAAGCTATACAACATGTTCTCATATGCGCCCAGGAAGGGAACACCAACAACACAGCCGTGTGAGAACCGACCAAACCTGGTCAAGCCTAGCTGCCAGGCTGATGCATCCGCGGAATGCCACAGTTTGTTTTGCTCTGCCGGAACCACCGGAGTTGTCGATCTTGGTGCATCGCAGTCCGTAATTGGTAGTGATCAGCTCAAAGAATTGTTGGAACAATTGCAGCCAAGCATTAGAAGTCAGCTCAAGCGCCAAGAGGTAGATCTGATTTTCAGGTTTGGCAACCATCAAACACTGCAGAGCAAGGTGGCAATTCATTTTCCATTACATGGACAATGGTTCCGTGTCGCAGTGGTGCCCGGTAAGACACCGTTTCTCCTGTCCAGCAAGTTCCTGCAGACAATCCAAGCCGTGATTGACGCCAATGAATGCACCCTATGGAGTAAGTTTCTTCAGAGATATATCCCCGTATATCATAATGAAAAGAACTTGATGATGATGAACATAAATGATTTATGGGGGGAAGCGCAAGAGAGCACCATCTGTCAAGTCCAAGCACAGACACCGAAGGCCAGTCGACCGACAAGCCAAGGTGATGAGTTTTCCATGCAGGTTTCAAACGACATGTCCACTAATGGAAAGAATGTGAGGGAGAGCTGTCCAAATTCTGAAGATGTCATGAAACCATGTCACAGTCTTGCAGTCGAGGTCCCAGGTCAACAGGTTCAGAACACTCGTTGTCACAGTGCGCAACGGCCAGAAAGAGACCCAAACTTCACCAATCATGCAAGTGTACAGAATACCACAGCTGTCGTAACGAGCTCAAAAGTGTCTCCCTGTGCAACATCGTGCAAGACTGAGAGCCATGTCTTTGCACAAACAGTTCCAAGCGTACATGGGCAAGAACAAGGACGAAGAGATCGAGAAGATCCCACTAGCCATTTTGGCCGAGACCAAGATCGATTTTGGCAAAGCCAAGATGAATCAGACTTTTGCCCAGGCATTCCAAGACAAGGAGTGGACCAGCTATATGCTGACAAGATTCGAGGAAAGTCAGAAACCGTCGCATCAAAAGTACTTCCAGTATGTCAAGATGATGATTCAAGAGGACAATCAGTCACCGACGTCCACGGTCAAGACCAAAGGGAATGTCAAGAAGAAGGAGGAAGCGAAGCCAACCAGTTTGGGTATGGCCAAACCAGTGGACGAGGAGGAGGATTCAGACTGGGAACGAATGACTGGAGGGCCGATCAATCAAATGACAGAGATACAGATCAACCAGAGCGAGATGGAAAGCCGCATGGGACGCATGGAAGAAGCACTGGCACAGGTGATCTCTCACCTTCAGCAGCTGTCGACTCAAGGTCTTCTGATACAGCCAAAGGCCGAGATGTAGGAAAAATCAAGCAAGCATCAGAAACTCTGATGTCAGCTGAGCCAAATGTCCAAGGTTGTGAAGAAGTTCCAGGAGAATTGTTGGATTTTGAGTTTGCAACGTCAACCACAGAAGTACCCACGTTTCAAAAAGAATGTCAGAGGTTGATTCACTGCATCCGCAAAGAACTCTCAAGTGTACGACAAATCATCCGACCCACTGGCAAAAGAATGAAGTTGTTTGAAATCATGTGTGGTCCCGAGAGTGAACTTACAAAGCAATGCCACAACCTTGGTGGTCAAGCCAGAAGATTCGGTCTGTTTTCAGGTGACTTAGGAACAACAGCTGGCCGCCGAAAGTTGTTTGCATATCTGTGTGCTGAGCAACCTGAACATGTATGGTATTCACCCGAATGTGGTCCATGGTGTAGGTGGTCAGCCATGAACATGTCACGGTCACTTGAATCGCTTCAGAAGGTGTTGGATGATCGGCGACAACGCTTGTGGCAGGTGGCACTCGGAGTGGTTTTGTGTGAACATCAAGTGTCTCTTGAGAAACATTTTCACTTAGAACAACCAGAGGGCTCAGCCATGCTTAAGTTGCCAAGTGTTGGACCGCTGCTCAACGTAGCTCATCCATGTGTGTTTGATTTGTGCAAGGTGGGAAAATTACAAGAGCCAGTCACAGGGATGCCAATACGAAAACGCCTTCAAGTGTGCACTACATCCATGGAGTTGAAACAAACATTCGATGGTCAAAGGTGCCTTGGACTTCATGAACACTATCAGATTGCAGGGACAACTCAATTTCAAAACCAAAACATGGCAGTATCCAAGTTCACCGAGCACTATCCCAGAAAATTTGCTAGGCAGGTTTGTCAAGTGTTGATCAAACGCAACCACAGTCATCCCAGTGAAATCCTAGCAAGTGACGAGTGTGAATTTGGTCCGGCAGATCACCCAACAAAGCGTCGTCGCCTGGGACAGAAAAGCTCGCCGATGCAGATCACACTTCGACATCCAAATGTCCAATGGTTGGATGTCATGAAAGCAGTAGATGTCAAAGCACCGAGGGTAGGAGTTGTAGTGTGGGAACAGGGAGACATCCTAGAAGCTGTACGAACGTTGTGTCCTGACCATGTAGTACGACATGTGGTAGTTTGTCGTGGAACTGACCGGATGCTAGGGCCCAACAATCGACTTATTCCTGGTGAAGCTCCTTGGCGTAAGATGATCTGTATACGTAGACGTTTTGAAGATGTTGTGGTGGAACCCGAATGGGAAAACTGGGAACGCCTGTCCTACAGACAACTCCGAAGGCAAAGTACACCTGCACGATGTAATCTCACAATCTTTGCCAGACCCAGATATAACTCCTGGCCGGAGACCAGAGAGGGTGCCGACAATGAACATCCAGATGCAACCAGCGAAACGAAGGCCATTCCAACCAAAAGAGCTGGAGATGGTAATTCCAGTTTGTCCGAGGCAATGCACCAACTCAAACGCAGTCGGTCATCACCTTCAGCAGTTGAGATAGTTCCATCCGAACTAACTCCCGGTGGGGCATGTGTCAAAGATGAGAAACCGGTGGATCGAGTAGTAGTTGATTTGACATGCCAAAAACATGGATCAAAGTTTTTAGAACTTGAAAAGGAAGAACAGCAATGGCTCCTCAAATTGCATCGGAACATGGGCCATCCTGGCCAACAGAAACTGGAATACATGTGCAGACAATTAGGTTGTGAAGATCGCATCCTCAAGGCCATTCCTGAAATTCGATGTTCAACATGCCAAGAGTCTCAGCCGCCAACAATTCCAAGACCAAGTGCAATAAAAGAACCACTCGATTTTGGGGATATAGTTGCTATGGATGGGATAACATGGACTAACTCTCAGGGGTCACAGTTTCATTTCTATCACATGGTGGATCATGGCACAGCCTTCCAAAGTGCATATTGTGCACCCGCCCGCACTGCCGCGGATGCCCTTAGAGCTCTCAGTTTAGGCTGGATGTTGTGGGCTGGACCGCCTGGTCAATTAGTGTTAGATGCTGCCGGAGAGTTCTGTGATGAGACTGTTCATGAGTTTGCACAGAAGCATGGAATCAAACTCAGGATCATTCCCCCAGAAGCCCATTGGCAAAACAGCCGGTGTGAACGACATGGGGGAATCTTGCAATCCATCTTGACCAAGATGGATCATGAGGAACCAATAACATGTTATGATCAACTTGAACAAGCATTAGTGTATGCAACTCAAACAAAGAATCAATGGTCCCGACACAGGGGTTATCCTCCGGAAGTTTTGGTTTTTGGAAAGTTACAGCGACAGCCAGGTTCAGTGGTAAGTGATGAAACAGGTTCAGCACACGAGTTAGCAAGAACGGACAGTCCTGAAGGAATTCGATTTCGTGCTGAACTCTCACGACGAGAACAAGCTCGACAAGCATTTGTCAAAGTGGACAATGATCAAGCATGTCGGAGAGCCCTACTGCAGAGAACTAGACCAAATAGGGGACGGTATCAACCGGGGGACTGGATAATGTTATGGAGGGAAAATAAGAAATGGATTGGGCCAATGAGAGTGATCCAACAAGAAGGTGATACATGCGTGTGGGCCGTTTTTGGAAACAGGTTGTATCGTGGAGCCCCTGAACAAGTACGACCTTTGTCAGCGGTAGAGGAAGTGACACTTGACAAATCCGGAGCTGTCCCAAAAGAAGAGCAGCCAAACGTCCGACCTGTCATGATAGAGAACACTGCCGAGATGCCTGCACAGACACCCAGGGCTTTCCAATCATCAGGATCACAACAGGTTTCAATACGGGATTCAACTGAACCAGAACCATCAATTGGAAGTCCTTCAATCGTTCCAACTGAAGAACTTGAAGAACAACTGCAACATGAGAAGGATCATATTGAAATCCCTGTACCCGATGATGATGATGCTGATTTATATTGTGAAGCGCTTCAGGTATCCAGTGATCAGTGTTGGACTATGGAGATTGAACTTGATGCTCATGATGTGTCTAAGATGCATGGTGCCGAACATGAAGAACAAGTGGCATTTCTAGTGTCCTCTGCCAAGAAACAGCGCAGTGAGGTGAAACTGAAAGAACTGAATGCAGAAGATCGAAAATTGTTTGACATGGCAAAAGACAAAGAACTCCAATCATGGTTGGACACTGGAACAATTCAGAAGATCTGTCGACATCAGATCCCAAAGGAGAATGTCCTACGATGCCGCTGGCTATTGACATGGAAGGATATGGGAGACACCGAGAAGGTAACTAAAGCTCCAAAAGCAAGACTGATTGTTTTGGGGTATGAAGACCCACAACTCTGTGAACTTGACAGAGATAGCCCGACATTGTCCAAACTTGCTCGGATGCTCATCCTTCAATTTGCTGCTAGCTCTGGCTGGGATATCGGTAGTTTTGACATCCGCACTGCCTTTCTCCGAGGAAGTGATGATTCTCGACAGCTAGGGTTAGAACCACCAAGCGAACTACGCAACAAGATGAAGTTAGCTGATAACGAGATTGTACAACTTCTCAAAGGAGCATATGGGCGAGTGGATGCACCGTTGCTATGGTTTCGTGAATTTCAAAAGGCACTCATTGAACTACAATTTACACAGTCACCCTTTGATCCATGTCTTTTCACTTTGCAGGACAAGAGAGGTCAAACCTGTGGATTGATAGGGATTCATGTCGATGATGGACTTTGCTGCGGGACACCTGAGTTCCATGCCAAACTGAAACAGTTGGAAGCCAGATATCCTTTTGGTAGTCGCAAAGATCGAGACTTCACCTTCACTGGTTTACACATTCAACAACATCAAGACCATTCAATCACAGTTGATCAAACCAAATATGTAAAAGCCATTGAACCCATTCATGTTAACAGTCAACGCCGTCATGACCCTCAACAACCAGTGACAGAAGATGAACGTCAACAACTGCGGGGACTGATTGGGAGTTTACAGTATGCTTCTACAAACAGTCGACCGGATTTGGGTAGCAGACTTTCATTTCTCCAGAGTCAAATCAACAGTGCAGTAGTCCAAACATTGATGGATGGAAATCGTACTCTTCAGGAAGCCAAAAGACATGCAGATACAGCACTTCGGATACAACCCATACCTTTACAGGACATCAGATTTGTATCTTTCTCAGATGCTGCTTTTGCTTCAAGTAAGAATCATTCCTCTCATCAAGGTATGCTTTTGATGACTGCCCATAAGTGTATCGGAGAAAATCAGAGTAGCCCAGTCAATCCGATTTTGTGGTCATCTCGCAAAATCCAGAAGGTAGCAGTGAGTACACTTTCAGCAGAGGCTATGGCAATGGCAGGAGCAGTGGACACATTGGCCTGGGCTCGTCTCTTTTGGGCATGGCTGATAGATCATTCATGCCAATGGCAATTAGGTGACCAAGCTTTGTTGAAACTTCCACCAGCCTTTACTGCAATCAAAGATGAAGACAATGATGATGAACCGAATGAATCGCTGATGCGCACTCATGAGATAAGTAAAAAGATAAGTCTTGCCGATAGTATCATTAGCACGGATTGTAAAAGCTTGTATGATATAATCAGTAGAACTGCACAGCCTGCATGCTCAGAGTTTCGAACCTTGCTGCAAGCCAAATTGATTCGTGAACACCTAGCCACTGGTGTAATGGTCCGATGGGTTCCAACTGGTGCTCAGATGGCAGACTCCTTAACTAAGATCATGGACAGCACAGTGTTGAGAGAGTGTCTTCGTCTTGGACACTATAGGTTGCAGGATGAAGCTCAAGTGTTGAAAACTCGAGCCGATGCCAAAACTCGCATTCGCTGGCTTCGTGGAACGGAGTCTAATTCATCCAGTTCTGAGAAAAGCCAAGTCGTCTCAGAGACCAATGCATATCACAATGTCAGCTCGAAATAGTTTTGATGTACACTTTCACAATAAGTTTGACCTTCCACGCAGTCCAACGGTTTTTGAAAACGGAAGCCAAGGATTTTTTTAAGCTGGTATGGTAAAGTCTGGAATGCAAGACCACTTGTATGGACATCGCGATGTCATGATTGCGGGTATGCAGCATGGGACACAAGTGCACTACTATTTGCATGCGGGAAAGTGAATGGTAAATTTCACTGGAACATGTCGAATGCGGAAATTCTTTCGAATTAAAAGACTGGGAATGTCAATCCAGCATTCACATGTTCATCCCTTTTTCCTTCAGACTGCCTGGTCAACTTGCCAAGTTCCGTGTGTGCACATGCAATGCGGCCCAAAGCGGGTGGGACGTGGCGGGATCGCTTCGAGCCATGAAAACAAGCGTGGCCGCTTGAGGATTGTTTGGCGTGGCAGCCATTTGGGAATTTCATAGAAGTTGGTGAGGTCACCAAGGTCATCTAGGTGAGGACACCTAGGAGTTCAACAGGTGGGCCCGTTACCAATCAGTTGAGAATAATATATATAATATATAATATACATATATTATGTATATATATATATTATATATATTATGTATAATAATGATTTGCGTATCAGCAACTGCTCTTGAGGAGACGCTGAGTATGATCGAAGAGGCCGCCGGCACTCGCATGTATGAGAACAAGAAGGCAGTTGCTCTGAAGACCTTGGAAAAGAAGCAGAACAAGGCGGGGAATACGTTGCAGGCGGGGATATTTTCTAGTGGTTTGTCCGGGAAAGTCTGCAGGAAATCCAAGATATTTGATTAAATCCATGTAAATCCATTCAAACAGGGAAATTCAGGTACTGGGTAGTATGTTGCTGCTATAATTCTTAGACTCTTATAATGTCACAATTCTGATAAATCTGACAATGATTGATCATGACTTGGAATATTATTCTGAGACTATGCTATAGTAATATCAGATTATATTACTATATATCATATATATATATATCATTATATGACACTTCATCATAGTAATATATACTATATATACTATATATACTATATATCATATATAGTATCTTAGCTTGATGAAGTGTCCCTTGGTCAACCCACGACATGACAGTCCCACGAGGTCGATGAGATCAACCAGCTGTTGAGTGAAGAGATCACTCCGACGCTGGAAAAGCTGCAGAAAGAGAGGTCGAATTATATGCGACTGGGATGGGAAGCTGAGGGAAACTGAGGGAAACTGAAGGAAACTAATGAATTTGTGAATCTAAAATCTAAAAGCAAGAGTCATTCTATCATTCGTCAGTTAACTATAATTGTAACATATTGTAACTATATAATACTATATACTATATATATACATATATCATATATAAACATATACATATGTATATACATATATATATATATGTATATATATATATGTATATATATATGTATATATATATGTATGTATATATATATGTATATATGTGTATATATATATATGATATATATATATATTCCTATGATATATATATATACTGTATGTACATTGCAATATTAGTTAAAACTTGTATGATATTACAATTATAATTATACACATCTTATACATGATGTACTGTAATTTTTATTATAGGGGATTTATTGTATATCTATGACACCTGTGATACTTTCAAATGGGTCAGAGCTCTTGTTTTCCTTTGAAGATGGTCTGCTAATATCCCACCGTTCAGACCTCATTTCAAACATCATAGCCTTCATGTCTAAGTCTGGCTGTACAAGTACAGTTGTTTTGATCGACTCCGGTCCTGAAGACAAGGCAAGTGGCACCTTGGTCATTGACCAAGGACACTTATGACTAATGTTATGTAGATACGTGCAATTGTGAATGCCCAAATGATTTTGAACGTTTGAATATCCTTGCTTCTTGGATTCACAGTTCAGCACAGAGCTGGTTGAGGGCTCACTCGCTCTCTGAGGCTCTGGGTCTCCAACAACAATGAGATTGAGCGGTTGGACCGCTTTTGTGTACCTTCGAAAGAATGGGATATAGGCTGACAGCAGAGTCAACGGACAGAGCATGGACAGAGCTTCGGATTTGTAGAGGCCTCCATAGCACCAACAACAGGTGAACATGACTAAGCAAAGGGAACGAGTGATCAGACATGGGAGACAGCAGAGCATTTGAGGTGGCCTATGAGTATGTGCAGTTCAAGAACCGTCTTGAGAATAAGAACCATCAGCTGGAGGAAATGGAGGAGATGATCAGGGCTGGTCAGACGTTGGGGGATGAAGATGGGGTGACCATTCCATCTTATGGTGAAGAAAAAGGCTTTGTCCAGATATGGGACACCCTAAAATCCTCAGTCTATGGGAAAACATGATGAGAATCACTTCAAAATTGGGGGTACATCTCCAACTTTCAGCCCATCTCATGTTGTACATGGTTGGTTTCCCCCATTTCCAAGAATTGCATTCCATTGCATCCCCACCATCTATCCACTATATAGCCATTCCTGCGAAATGGTTGGCTTGATCTCCGTTAGTACTGGATCGCTTCAACTTGGGGTCACCTATCATTGAAGATTCCCATTCTGCGACATTTATTCATCCCTATTTGTGAACCCCACAGTTGGGGATGTACGAACAAGTTTAAAGGGAAATGGGAGACATCATTGAACTGTAGTGTACAATGGACCCATTACACACATATATATATATATATATAATTGGTGATTCATCAAAATTATCCCACTATATCCCCATGAAACGCTTAGTGTGACCCCCCATTTCTCCCATCATGGGAATCCCAGGGGTCCATTGGATGGTCCATTGTGTTAATAGCGATGGATACCGATGGTCCCATATTGGGAATCAGAATGACTTAACATAGATCTGGAGAATTCCCATCATCTAACCCAAGTTCCAAGAGTTTTTCGCTAAATCAATCCATTGATTATGATCTGATTGAATTGAATCCACCTATTTTCAGTTAAATCCCCATCAAATCGCCATAAAATTTTCTCATAAAGTCACCGTGACTTACACCCATAAAATCCCCATTAAACCCATCAGACCCATCTTATGGATTAATCCATCAGACCCAGGAGTCCCCATAAATCACCATAAAATCCCCATTAAACCCATAAAATCCCCATAGTCAGTTCTGCTGTGGATCCCCAGGAGACCTTGGCCCAGATTGCCAAGACCGTCTCGGAGCTCGGGCGTCGCGACACGGCCATCCAGAAGGAGATGAAGCAACGCACGGCGTCGCGGGACAAGGCTGGCGGATCTGGATCTGGGGCCCCTGGGGCATGGCGGTCCATTCAGGGTGATCTTTATTGAATGATTGATGTTTATAAACATATATCATATTGATGATGATTGATGTATTTCTTTTCTGAATTAAGGATTGGATAGATGGGATAGATGGCTCATAGATGGATCCATGATGGATTGGATAGACGCGTTTTTGTTCCCTGCATTGGAAAAACAAGGAAGAATCATCGAGTTATGGTGTTTTTTTTTTTTTGTGAGGGACACTTGTTTTTTTTCCGCAAGACAAGTTCTTGACCCAGAAATGTCGAACGCCAAGGCGCGGTCTCAGGAATGGAAGAGGCTCGAAGATGAGCACAACAAGCTCTCCAAGGAGATGAGAGATGGGGGCCATTGATGGCCACCGGCCAGGTTTTTTTTGATATTTTTAATGGGGAAAAATGAGGATTAACATGGATTATATAACATTCTTTCAATGGGGAACAGGATATTTCTATATATTTCTAATGGACATTTTTTTGGATTGACATGGATCAACTGACAGAAACTCTTCGATTCAAGATGCTGTTGCTGGTTCTGCTCTTGCTCAGCATCTCTGCAATAATTTTGTCGGGGTGCGCTTCGACTACCATGTCCAGCAAATGGCATTTTGTCTCGTGTTGTCCGCGCAGTCAAACATTGGCATTGTCTTCTGATCAGGGGAAGAACTGCTGAACAGTGTTAATAATCGTAAATAATGGTTAATAATGATCAATAGTGGTTAATATCGGTCAATAGTGATTCACAATGGTGATTCATGGAATTATCAACTAACCAACTATCGAGGACTTAACCTCTGTTCTCTCCGCAGGAGATCGCCTCCATCGAATCCAAGCTGAAGAACAAAGAAGCGGAACTCCAGACTGAGAAGGAGCATCAAAAGAAATCCAGCTCAGGCGCCTGTGATGTGCCGCCATAGTGGCATAGGGTAGATATAGAACATAGATGGGACATATGGACATACTCATCTTATGACTGGGTGTCATGTTGGTGGATACTAGATACTAGTATAATCTAATATGCAGAACATAATATACAGTACAGTCAGTTAGCATAGTTGATCCCACAAGATGCTGGGTGGATCATGGAGGCGGACTTTGCACAGGTATGGGAGACCTGAGAAAGCAGCTGCAACAGAAGGAGACAGTCTATGAGAAAGAGAAAGGTGCCGATTTTTTCTGCCGGAAAATGTTAGACGAAAAACACATCCACTGAGATGCATTCAAAATTCACCTTTCTGAAGCTCTAGTATTTGAGCTGGGAAGGCACATCTTAAAGGTTGCCGAATCTCAATGTGAACGTGAGACTTCGTGAGCTGTGGCATCATGAGTCTGTTTGGCAGCTGTGAATTGGACGTTTGTTGCAGGGACTTTGGTCTCAGCAAGTTGGTTTCGGTGCTGGCAGGCAAATATGACAAATTGACTCAAGAGGAAGCAGGTACCAATCAGGCAGAAGGGGGGGGGTCGCTTTCAATTAATGGTTATTGGTTGATCGTTGATGGTTGATAGTTCGTTGAGGTGATGATTGATTGTACTCAGACTCATATGGCGGTTTCCTGAGGGGTACTGTACATGGATTTCCCATTATAAACCAACCATTTTCACCGGTACCACCATTTTAGGAAACCTCCAACTTTCGGGAACTTTCGGGTCCGCTCCAGGAAATCGAAAAGGCGCAGTGGTCGATGCAAGCCATCACAGCAGGCCGCTGGGGATGTTTTTTAAACCAATGGCGATGCATAGCCTTTTGCAATCAAATGTGGCAATGGAAAATACCGTATGAATAGGGTGCTTAAAGGGAACATCCTCCAAACATGGTGGAATTTCAATTGCCACGTTTGATTACCGGAGGGTAAGGGACACAATGGGATGTATTATATACATATGTATGTACATATTGCAACCAACTTTGATATTCTTGATATGATTTACGGGGGTCTGGTAGAAAAGCGGAAACGACTGGATTGACATATCCTCATCATCGCACGAAGACTACTGCCACCGCAATAGGAATGCAGAGACTCTGGCAATCAAGCAATATCAAACGTGGCAGTATAAAACCCAAATTACCAGAACATCATTTAACAAATGCATTGGCCATTGGCAATTTCCATATCCATTACTCACTATTGGCAGGTTATATAAATCCCCATTTGTTGTTGGTTATATCACCATTTGTTGTTGGTGAAGTACCCATTATTACTCACTGGAGGGTAACATGCACAAGATGATTGTTGCTCGAAAGCGTGAGGCATGGCAGAGGCACCGGACACCAATGGGGAGCAGTGCTCAGTCCGAGAGCAACTGCTTCGTGCACAGACTCGATTGCAGGAGATGCAGGCGTGAGACGTGGACGTGGAGAGTTTTGAAAGCCCCAAAAATGAGGGTATCATAGGGATATAATATCTATAGGATATATTATTTAATAGGACATATTGATATCCCATATCTATTTTTTAAAACCAACTTCTTTATGGGATATAATTTATAATAATAGGACATATTGAATATATTGATATCTATCGCCATTTGATGGTCTTGGGATGTCTTGGGTGGGTGTCTCTGAAGATGGGAGCCTGTCCAATGGCCATCTATTGATGGAGAAATATGGTGATCAGGGTCTATGGCGACTGGCCAGGGCTTCTCGACTTATAGCCGGCGTCGAAAAAGATTGGCTTTTGCGCTGAAATCTGTTGGGTGATTTAACAGGCAAATTGAAGGACACTTGTTTAAATCACATGTAGGTTCTACATCAATCCTTCGAAATCTTTGCTTTTTTTCCGTGAAGCCTGAAAACTCAATCATTGCTTGCTGTGCGAAATCCGCTGTTTCCAGCTGTGTTCAGTTGCTGTGAATCGCGAGGCTGAAGAGAAGACGAAGAGCATGGCAATTGCCAGCTTGAAGGCCCCAGTTGAAGATATGCTCAGTTGACCCTTCTTGGGTATGCATCAAACGTAGGGGTGGCGATGGTCCCACAGAAGTTGTCACGTTCGGTATAAAACAATCATAAATATCATACACAATCCATTTCTTTGGATGGTAGTTTTGAACTATACTCCATTCATGGTTGGCACGTGATATCCAGCGGATGTTTTTTCGTTTCCTTGCCATGAACCGGAACACACCAAGGATTGGGTTCCAATCACCTTGATCATGAGGGGATCCTATGGATCCACACCCTATGGATCCTGTTGGTTGGTTGCTAAGTGTGATGTTTGGCTGGCACAGGAGCGCATTGCAACCGCCGAGCAGGTCTTGGGGCGAAGCAAGCAGGACAGCATCATTTTTTATATGAACGCTATGTGATGCATTGCGTACTCTAAATAGACGTATTTAACTATAAACAATATGATAGAATCACATATGAGATGTACATAACATGAAATATATACTTTATATGCACAATACATATATATATATATTAATTCTGTATATGTATACGTATATTTAACACACATATGATCACATATGTATATATACATGTAGGTATATATATACTATAACCCATGACCATTTACTGATATCCCTAAACCACCAAAGCCAACTAAACCATGCAGGACGACAAGCGCCTGGCCAAGGAAAGGACGGCCATTGAAACCATGGTGAAGGACTGGCTCTATGGGACATTTGGAAGCATCGAATTTGGAGGTACCCTATTTTTAGGCAAATCTAGATGTGTATATGTGCATATATATATATATATACATATTATATATACAGTGGGATCTCTCTAAGTAGTCTAGCCAAGAATATGCGTTTGCCCAAGAATGAATGATTTACCACCATTTCTTGGCAATTTGTCATGTAAACATGATCCATCAGAACACACGCGGGAATCATTTTTTGGACAACTCCGTATGGATCAAACTTGGAAAACAAGGGGAAAGATCGAGCAATACCCATGGAAAACGCAGGATTCCAACGATGTTCAAATTATACCTATATATACATATATATATATAATATAATATTTATATATAATATATATATGTATAATATTAATATATATAATATTAATATATATAATATATTAATATATATAATATTAATATATATAATATATATATATATATTATACATATATATATACATATATGTATGTATGTATGGGATCCCTACATATATTCAATTGGTAGAAACACAAAACGATACAAGGTTGACCCAAAAAACCGTCGAAGAAATCCATGACTATGTCCATCACTTGAAGCTTCGCCAGGAGCAACGCGGCAAGTTGCAGAAGGCGGGTTTTGATCCTGAGGCCTTTGGGCAGCTGCAGCATTCTCTGCGTCAGGTGGAGGCTTGGGGATTTCTGATGGAGATCTTGGACAGTTTTTGAAAATATTGGGTATATCAACTGCAATTTATTGGGTTTACCCCACATATTGCAATTGCAAATGAGGAACATGATGATGAACGATTTTGATTTGAGGCTTTATCATGTTGACCATGTAGAGAAGTATTGGAGACGATGTTTTCACATTGCCATCTTTGATTATCGAGGAAGAATATGTAGACCATTATACTGTAGACCTTGATTCATTTAGGAGTGGGTTATAACATGTTACCCTCTGGTTATTTAACATAGCCATGGAAAATGACCCATTTATAGATGGTTTACCTATTGTTTTAATGGTGATTTTCCATGGCTATGTGAGTCATAACCAGAAGGTATATCCAAAAAAGTGCTTTAAGGTATTCGCCATAGCCCAAAAATCGATAAACCACTGGTTGATCAGTTTTGGTGCACCTGAGATGGTTCCGGACTGATGGCAATGAAATGGGACATCATGGCCTGAGATCACGGCCTGAGTTTTCATATTGGGAGAACATTTTCCACAGTTTCCACAAAATTCTGAACATACAGATGTTATCATGAGCTGACTTCCACATATCTTCCATTTTTTCTCTGACTTTCCACATATTTTCCATTTTTTCCAGATATATTTTCGTTTTTTTCTCCAGATATCTTACCAGGGAACCTATCTTTTCAGGCCATGTGATCCTCGGATCCGTTGAGGCTGCTTGGCACTCCATGCAAGATCGGGTGGACTCCCTACGGGCTCACCTGGGTGGTTTAGACTTCCAGTACAGCGACCCTTACAGGACAGGATGGACAGGGGGATCTCCTGGATGCGGAGATTTCGAAGGGCTTAGAAATGCTTGGAAGATTTTCCCGGAGGATTGGGATAATGTAATATATATATATATGTATATATATATATATATGTATATGTATATATATATATATTAATATTACTATATAGATATATATATATACATTTTATATTACGTATATATATATATATGTATGTATGTATGTATGGTATGGTATGGTATGGTATGGTATGGTATGGTATGGTATGTAATGTATGTAATGTATGTAATGTATGTAATGTATGTAATGTATGTAATGTATGTAATGTATGTAATGTATGTAATGTATGTAATGTATGTAATGTATGTAATGTATGTAATGTATGTAATGTATGTAATGTATGTAATGTATGTAATGTATGTAATGTATGTAATGTATGTATGTAATGTATGTATGTATGTATGTAATGTATGTATGGTATGGTATGGTATGGTATGGTATGGTATGGTATGGTATGTATGTATGTATGTACGTATATATAATTGGGATATATACTGTATATATATATATATAACTTGCCAAGAAGCATTGAACACCTGGGGTGTTGTCCAAGAATGGAGGTACAGGCCATGGCTTTATGGCAATTTTCATGGTGGAAAGTGATGACCAACCATGAGATGGAGTGGGGTACAGTACCCGATTTCAGACAAAGCCACATTTTTGGGAAGACCTTTGAAGACATGTTTTAAAAGTGTGGTGGTTCACTGTTGTTAAATGCTGGTGTTTTGTTTGCCCTAGGGCCCTAGGGCCCAGTGGTACAAAAGGGTTGCATCTCAGTTACGACGCGCATTTGACAGGAACTTTGATCGCTCCACTGTGAAGGGTGTGGTGGCGAAGCTTTTCCACATCAAGCCGGATTTTGTCGCAGTCTCAGTTTTTTTTTGAAAGGAATCCAGTACTCGTAAGAATCAGAACAGCTTCGCAACGGCAACGGGTGATCCTTAGCAGAAGCTTAGGCCGCCTACCATCGGGCCCTGGAGGTCTGTGCTGGTGGGAGACTTTATTTTGTGATCGCAGACAACGAAGAGACTGGGAAAGCCCTGCTGGACAAAGGTCAATTGAGGTGCAAGCTCCATGTTTTGCTCCACTTGGAACATATTCTTGTCATGTTCTGGTTGGTGGCTTCAAATCTATTTTTTTCAACCATACTTGGGATAATTGGTTGAGATAACTCATATTCTGGGCATAGGTTCACATCACCAACCAGTATCGTTTGTTTCTCTGCCTTTCGTCTTTGAGATTGGTTAGAGGATCGACAGGGTCTGGTGCAACTCATCCACAGATGCGCAGGCGGCGAGTCACGATTATTCCGTTGAATAAGATCCAGGACTTTGGCGAGATGGTGGAGCAGTCAGATCATTTTTGTGTAGCAAAGATGCCGTCATTTACAGATCATTCATGATATTACTGGGGATAGCCTGTGGGATATGATATATCTTCATGAATATGCCGTGAATATCCACATGTCTCTGTCAGATTTTGGGTGCCAAAGCACGAGCCAGGACAATAGCATCTCCCAACAGGTGGTCCGGCAAGCGCGGCAAATCATTCCCAAGAAGGCCGAAGCGCACGTTGCCATGGAAATCATTGGCTGCGAGAAACAGGCGCGGCACCCACTGAATCCAAGCCCATTGTTGATCCATCACTCTCATCTATCAATGAAATATCCCCAATTATATATATATATATATATTATATTATATACACTTCATTTTCCGTGAAAACATATGAAAATAGGGGATTCTCAGCCAGCGATGCTTTGTTACCTGCGGGCATCGAAGGTACAGCCATAGTAGAATCCTTTTTTTTTGATTGTTTGACTAACTTTCTCTGACGGTTCTACTCACATTCTTGTTGGTAACCATCCCATTATTGATCGTAAATCCGCTTTTTTCATGATATAATTTTTGATGCTTAGGCTGAGGTCCACATTTTTCCTGGTTTAATCAACCTTTCTCATGATGAAATCACAATTTTTCATGGTGAACGCTACATTTTCCACATTCTTTTCCCCAGCTTTGTTGATGATTCAATCTGCAGTCGCTTTTGGTTTGCGAGGTCATGAGCGCCATGAAGTTCGTCTTCGGGCCCTACATGGTCTGTGACACGCCCGAGACGGCCAAGCAGATCACCTTTCATCCCAACGTGAGGGTGAAAACGGTGACCAAGGAACTCCTTGGGATATCTTGGGATATTACTGACATTACTATATAATTAAGTTACTATGTCGGGATATCTTGGGATGTTGGGATATTACTATTGCATACTATTACGATCTACTACTATGATCTTGGACATTTCTATAGAATGATATTGGGATTAAAAACTACTATGATAGACTTGACGATGATGATGCTGATGATGGCGATGCTGATGACGGCGATGACGACGACGACGGCGACGACGATGATGATGATGACGACGACGACGACGACGACGATGATGATGATAACCCCTTTGTATATAATTACTACAATAATACATCATATATTATATATCATACATCATCAATGATATCAGTATGAACAATAATCTGACTATGGGCTGATGTTTTTGGGATGATTTTTGCTGTCGAGTGGTGAACGGAGGCAATTTGGAGCTGTGGCTGTTCATATTCACGACAATGATGAACAAACCGCGAATCAGAAACTTACCGCGAATCAGAAACAAAGAATCAGAAACTAAAAGCCGCGAATCAGAAACTAAAATCCGCGAATCAGAAACCAAAATCCCGCGAATCAGAAACCAAAAATCCCGCGAATCAGAAACTAAAATGCACGAATCCGAAACAAAACTCCGCGAATCAGAAACTGAGAATCAGAAACTAAAAACTGCGAATCAGAAACTAAAATCCCGCGAATCAGAAACCAAACTCCCGCGAATCAGAAACCAAAATCCCCCGAATCAGAAACCAAAAACCGCGAATCAGAAACCAGAACCAGAAAATCAGAAACTATGTTGATCCGCCACTATGTTGAATACGATATTACCTTCTACTTCACTTCATAAGAAATCAAATCCGCCACCCCCTCTGGCCACTATGTTGAATAGGATATTACCTTTTACTTCACTTCAAAAGAAATCAAATCCGCCACCCCCTCTGGCCACTATGTTGAATAGGATATTAACTTCAACTTCATAAGAAATCAAATCCGCCACCCCCTCTGGCCACTATGTTGAATACGATATTACCTTCTACTTCACTTGAAAGGAAATCAAATCCGCCACCCCCTCTGGCCACTCTGTTGAATAGGATATTACCTTCTACTTCACTTCAAAGGCAATCAAATCCGCCACCCCCTCTGGCCACTATGTTGAATAGGATAGTAACTTCAACTTATCTTCATAAGAAATCAAATCCGCCACCCCCTCTGGTCACTATGTTGAATAGGATATTAACTTCAACTTATCTTCATAAGAAATCAAATCCGCCACCCCCTCTGGCCACTGTGTTGAATACGATATTACCTTCTACTTCGCTTCAAAGGAAATCAAATCCGCCACCCCCTCTGGCCACTCTGTTGAATAGGATATTACCTTCTACTTCACTTCAAAGGCAATCAAATCCGCCACCCCCTCTGGCCACTATGTTGAATAGGATAATAACTTCAACTTATCTTCATAAGAAATCAAATCCGCCACCCCCTCTGGCCACTATGTTGAATACGATATTGCCATCTACTTCACTTCAAAGGAAATCAAATTCGCCACCTCCTCTGGCCACTATGTTGACTAGGATATTACCTTCTACTTCAACTTCACTCCAAAGGAAATCAAATCCGCCACCCCCTCTGGCCACTATGTTGAATAGAATACTACTTTCTACTTCAGTTCAAAAGAAATCAAACCCGCCACCCCCTCTGGCCACTATGCTACATAGGATATTAATATTAACTTCAACATATTTTCTTAAGAAATCAAATCCGCCACCCTCCTCTGGCCACTATGTTGAATAGGATATTACCTTCTACTTCACTTCAAAAGAAATTAAATCCGCCACCCCCTCTGGGCACTATGTTGAATAGGATATTAACTTCAACTTATCTTCATAAGAAATCAAATCCGCCACCCCCTCTGGCCACTATGTTGAATACGATATTACCTTCTACTTCACTTGAAAGGAAATCAAATCCGCCACCCCCTCTGGCCACTCTGTTGACTAGGATATTACCTTCTACTTCACTTCAAAGGCAATCAAATCCGCCACCCCCTCTGGCCACTATGTTGAATAGGATAGTAACTTCAACTTATCTTCATAAGAAATCAAATCCGCCACCCCCTCTGGCCACTATGTTGAATACGATATTACCTTCTACTTCACTTCAAAGGAAATCAAATCCGCCACCCCCTCTGGCCACTCTGTTGAATAGGATATTACCTTCTACTTCACTTCAAAGGCAATCAAATCCGCCACCCCCTCTGGCCACTATGTTGAATAGGATAGTAACTTCAACTTATCTTCATAAGAAATCAAATCCGCCACCCCCTCTGGCCACTATGTTGAATACGATATTACCATCTACTTCACTTCAAAGGAAATCAAATTCGCCACCCCCTCTGGCCACTATGTTGACTAGGATATTACCTTCTACTTCACTCCAAAGGAAATCAAATCCGCCACCCCCTCTGGCCACTATGCTGAATAGAATAATACTTTCTACTTCACTTCATAAGAAATCAAACCCGCCACCCCCTCTGGCCACTATGCTACATAGGATATTAACTTCAACATATTTTCTTAAGAAATCAAATCCGCCACCCCCTCTGGCCACTATGTTGAATAGGATATTACCTTCTACTTCACTTCAAAAGAAATCAAATCCGCCACCCTCCTCTGGCCACTATGTTGAATAGGATATTACCTTCTACTTCACTTCAAAGGAAATTATCCGCCACCCCCTCTGGCCACTATGTTGAATAGGATATTAACTTCAACTTATCTTCATAAGACATCAAATCCGCCACCCCCTCTGGCCACTATGCTCAATAGGATATTACCCTCTACTTCACTTCATAAGAAATCAAATCCGCCAACCCCGTCTGGCCACTATGCTACATAGGATATTAGCTTCAACTTATCTTCTTAAGAAATCAAATCCGCCATCATAAGAAATCAAATCCGCCACCCCCTCTGGCCACTATGTTGAATAGGATATTAACTTCAACTTATCTTCATAAGACATCAAATCCGCCACCCCCTCTGGCCACTATGCTCAATAGGATTGATGAACAGGTTTTAGTTTCCGATTCTTTTGGTTTCCGATTAACAGGTTTTAGTTTCCGATTCACCTGCTTTAGTTTACGATTCAGCTTTGGTTCCCGATTCCGGGTTTTTGGTTTCCGATTCAAGGGTTTTAGTTTCCGATTCACGGGTTTTAGTTTCCGATTATTTTAGTTTCCGATTAACAGGTTTTAGTTTCCGATTAACGGGTTTTAGTTTCCGATTAGCGGGTTTTAGTTTCCGATTAACGGGTTTTAGTTTCCGATTAATGGCTTGACCACCACATGATAGTTTCATTGTCAACTTTTTGATTTTTTTGCATGGGTTACTGTATTTTGCGGCAAGCTAAAAATTTGCAGGCTTTTGTGGTTATTTTTTCACGGACTGTTTTGGTTTGCTATTCTGATGGGCTACTTTATGGCTATTTTGATGTTGACACAGATTCTCTGAACGAGGGATGGAATGGGGTATCGGCATTTTGAGACTAAGCCATATGATTCAAAAATTATGATAGAATATCCCCCCCCCCTTTAACCCTGGAATTTTTCGGGGGGGGGGGTAAGGCATGAAATTTCTGAGAAATATTTCACCTGACCACCTGAAATATACCCCCCCCCACGTGTTTTTTTGGGCTTCTAAAAGACGTGGGGGGGGGGTCTTCCGGATGCCACATTTTAGCCCAGAAACGGTATGACACACCATGACACACCCTTTCATTTTGAACATACATACATACTTACATACATACGGGTAGGGCCCACGCGCAAACACTGACAACTAGGTAAATGGTAACTGCCGGTTTCCAAGGAAATAAATAAGAGAGTGAACTTGCCAAACAGCCTTCAGAACATGACGTTCAGCCTTGAATTCAACCACGCCCAGAGACCATTATAGACCAGATTTTTTTAGCTGAAATATTTCACTTTAGGGAGGTGAAATATTTATAGGTGTGTGGGGGGGGAGACCCCCCCTAAAGTGAAATATTCACCCCGCTTCGCGTGGGGTGGCCGCCCACACCGCAGGTTTAATTCGGTCCGTGAGAGGGGCTAAGGGTGGTTTTCCCCTGTGGGGGCTCTTCAAGCTAAGAAGTTTCAATAAGAAATCCTTCCAAAACATTGTTTTTGACAGTGTTTTTCCAATGTTTCCAGTCAAACAGACGGTAATTTACACGTTTTTTGCCATAAAGGCAGTAAATCCTTCCAAAACATTGCTTTTGACAGTGTTTTTGTAATGTTTCCAGTCAAGCATACGGTAATTTACACGTTTTTTGCTATAACGTCAGTCCAAAACACTTGTTTTTGCAGTGTTTTCAATGCTCTGGCATCCAAAAACCCTGCAAAATCTTGCTATGTACAATGTTTTTTTCATTTTTGGCCGTTTTTCCATTGCCGGAAAGCTACCAAAATGACCCAAAATTCCATTTCAATACCCTCTTGCGCTCAGACACCCAAAAATCCTCGAAAAATGTCGAAAACACCACCGTATTCTGGTCTCGGTGCGAAACCGTTTTTGGGGTCTGGTCTCGGTGCGAAACCGTTTTTGGCCCCCCCCCCCAGCTAAAGCTGATATAGCGACTGCTATATTAACAAATGTCATTGAGCATTTAGTGTTGCTGTTGCCCCCCAATAAGCACGCCTTCACCGCCAAAGCGGTGTGGGCGGATTTCAGTTTTTACCCCCCCCACCCCCCTTAAAGGGGGGGATGATAGAATATGAATTTGTCTGAAAATAGGCTGTCCTCAAATCCATTGGTTTATCATTATTATTGTCCCTATTGATTAACATGGCTTTGGGGGAATGCACCATTTTCTCCGAATCTTGCGCTCAACTGCTTGTGTCAGGAGGGCGATTTGTACGACCCAGCTGGAACCATCACGGGTGGTTCCGCACCCAAGGGCGGCAACACGTTGATGAAGCTCCAAGAGTTGTTTGGAGCTGAGTCGATGATTTGGGTCAACTGGGGACACCATCTGGGACATGGCTATTAGATGCTATTCGTTTAAATGTGGAAACTGATGATTAACCAGAAATTTATGGGTTCGCCCATTTTCAGAGCCATTCTTCAATACCCAGTGATGAAACATGAGCGAAGAAACAAAGGGCTGGAGATGACTGGCCCGAAAAGGTCCAACCTCGAGAATCAGCTTCACAAGAAACGATGCGAATACGACAAGGCCGCGCAAGGGGTGAGTTGCTGGAACTTTCTCAAAATCAGTGGCTTTGAAATGGTCAATGGATGGGGTTCCAAATCTACAAGATTTGGTGCCTGATTCTGTGAATAGCTCCCTGCAGGCACGAACGCAGGTTCAAAAGATGCAAGAGACAGCTTCCCAGTTTTCCACTTTGGAGAGAGAGCTGAAGTGCAAAGAACACGAGTTTCTCGGATCTCAGCAGTTGTGGTTTTTAGAGTCACCTGAACCACTTTCGACCAACTTCAGGGGGGGTTGGGGGCAATTCTCTCCCTTTTCCAGGTATCTTATCTAGGTGTTTGTCATGACCAGCTTCAATTGGCGGTTTCGTGGTGCATACGGTTTGTTGAAAGAGTGTGTTTGATCCTCACAACAAAAAGGTTTCCCTTCAAACGATAGAAAAACAGTACTTACCGGATTATTACTAGACCCGATGTCCCCTAGTTTTTTGTCTATTTTGGGGCATCTTTGGGGTTGATCAAAACCATCATCCAACTCATTCCGCCTGCGACCCAGGTTGGCCTTGTTGGACGATCGCATCAGTCGTAGTGAGCACCACACGGCGGAGCAGTCCATCCAGGATCAATCCGGGGTTGATTGCTGGGAAAATCTACAGGAAACCCTGGTTTTTTCCAATCAATCTGGGGTCCGAGATTTTTTCCCTTCCGATTCTGCGATTCAACGGGCAAAACTGAGCCCAGTGGGAGAGCATCTTTCATTTCACTGGCAGCTTGGGGTTGCCATGCATTTTCCAAATATGGGGGATATAAAGGGATAGATGAGGATATAATTGGATATCACCGGGAATCCAGGACATGTGGGGTGTCTGAAACTGCGGGATTCCCGACGGATTCCCGAAGGACATGCAGTCTGAGATGCAAAAACTGCAAGAAGACATCGCCAATCTTCCTGAGGTGTGGCAAAATGATGACAAAATGGTGACAAAATGGTGACAAAATGGTGCCATGGCCATCCAAAATCCATCGAAATTCGAAGAACATCATGATTTGATAATATGGAAAGCTAGTGGAGACTGGGGTGTCCCCAATATTGGGACAGATCCAATTTATTCCAATTTATCGTGTCAAGTTCTGGTCGGAGTCTTGTAAGCAAAAAGGACTCTGGCTACAGACACAGGTCTTGAAGCCAAGCCTCACACCCTCTCTAATTTCCATCAGTGTTTGGCCGTTTGGCCGGAAAACCTATGAATCCTCACTTGCTGGTCATTGTCCGCATCATTTAAATATAGACAATCTAGATCAATGAGCAGAACAAAAAGATCGTGTTGCCCGCAGGAAAAGAAGCGTTTGGAGAAGTCTACAAAGCAAATGGAGAAGGCTGCATTCGGATAAAATCATGTTTTAACATGTTTTAACCATGTTTTAACCATTGGATTTTCTGATGTTTTTATCGAACATTTCAGGCTTTGAGGGATTTGACTTGAGGACATCAAGAGCTTGGATTCCAGCCGCGAAGACCGCATCAAGTACTTCGAGAGGCACATTGCTGAGCTCAAGAAGTCTGCCAAACAGAATGTGGACAAGATTGAGAAGCAAAGGGAGAAGACTGAACAAGCCCAAGTGGAAGTAGAAGTGCTCCGGAACGAACTCCTGCAGATGGAGGGCAAAGAACAGGACTCAGAAGATCTTTCTTATCCTTTCTTTTTCTTTCTTTGGCTGTGGCTCAAAACAAAGCAAACCAAAAAAAGTCAGGGTAGTTCAGGGTTGGCAAGTATCTCCCCAAATAGCTTGCGATTCTGTCCATTTTGTTTGGGATGCTTACCAGACAAGTCTATCTTGTGGACCCAGAAATACTATTGAGCCATATTTGATTGCCGGAGGCCACAGTTTGCTGTGACATGCTGTGACCAGGCTGTTGAATCTCACCGAAAATACATAGACATTCAACCTACAGATCCATGCAGATCCTACAGCACTGCAGACCGCAGGACAGTGGCAGGGGTCAAGAATCCATCGCAGCAGAGATTCAGCAGATGTCTGAGTCGCTCTCGGCCAAGAAGGTGGGGATCGGTCTTCACCGGAATTGGAGAACTGGGAAGAAATGCTCATCATTTGGTTTGTTGCAGAATGTTCCAGAAGATTTAGTACCCGAACATACAATGATCTGGTTGCCAGATCATCGTAGATTATCTTAGATTATCCTAGATTATCATAGAATCATAGATTATCATCACATGTTCCATTAAGCAGTGGCCATTTTATGATTTTATGGGCATCCTCGGTATCCCGTATCTTTTATACCGAAGAACTGTCAGGCTGTGCATCGAATGATCCGCCTGGACCCGCCAGGCTTCTTATGCAGAAACAGATACACAACGCGAGAACCTGAGGCCAGACCGAAGCTTGCGCTGATCAAACCTATGAAAAACTGATTCAAAGAGGAGCGGACATTTGCCCGATCCAAAATTGCTGATTCTCTTCACAATTTTTGGAAAGCCAAGAACTAATGGGAACGATTCTTGGAGTTCACTTAAAGAACAGGGATTTTACAGTTCCTCACCCCCATTCCAGTCGTTCAGCAAAAAACCCGCCCAGGGTGGAGTTGGAGAGCCTTGCCCAGAACGACTGGGGTCGTGCCCAGTTGCTCCCCAAGATGAACAGGATGCATATAATAGAATGTGGGTCAAACAAGAACAAACCACCCATGACTGGGAATGGTAAACATGCCACCTATAAAAATGGTGATGACTGGGGGATGGTTTATGAACTTGTTTTACCCACATTACATGTAAATAATGGCAAGTTCGTATGAATAACCCCACCACTAGAAGGCAAGAGTCCACCACAATCAAAAAACTAGGGCTTGTCATACATAAAAGACAACCAACCTGCAGATTTTCAGTGGCAATCTCCCTCCCAATGGGGTGGGATGGTGAGATTGGGCATGGAACATCCCTTCAAGACATTACTTTTTCAACCATTAAAAAACAATTAGAACCATAAAACATCATTAAACACTATTTATGTCCTGACTACTACAACATCAGGATTTCTGAGCAGGGTGTTGTTTAATAGAGGGGGTCGCACATGTTTATTAGTAGGGAGGGACCAACCCAAAGTAGTATTGCCATTATTTTTTTTGGAATGTGGGCGTTGATTCGGGCTGCTTATTAATATGAACTTAACATTATAACGGAGGGACTGTTGTGAGCTGTGAATTTCAAGCTTTTGGGGTAGACATTCAATGAAGAAACTCACACTCACAACAGTTCGTTCTGAATGTAGGCTATCTGATAGAACATCTCTTAACAAAAGCATGTGTCTGGCACATCAACGCTCTGGCCTGTCTCACTTCCACCAAGATTAATCCTGATTAATCATGATTAATCCAAACTAAAAAAAGCAAAAAAGGAAAAACAAGACAAAAAACACAGTGTTTCCACAACTACTCTGACCTCTGGACTAGTCGCCAATCTTTGTTTTTCCTTTTTTGTTTTCTCAAGGTTTTGGTAATGATCTGATTAATCTCGATTAATGCTGATAAATCCAGTTCATAACGTCCAACATCATGACTCCCGCTAGTTCCGGCCTTCTTGTCCCCAAATTGGGAAAAGTCAGATGCTCAGAGACTTGGGCATGGGTTGACGGCAATTTTGTATGTCATCTATTTTCATCTAGTTTTCAGTAGAATTTGGCACTTTTCAAAAACAGTGCCGAAAACATTGAAACAAAATGAAGCAGACAAGGTGCACTTAGGATATGGGTTCGACATTTTTAACATACAATCCTCCAATATCTGTGATCCCAAGTCGTATATTCCTTAAAGAAAGTGAGGCCAGCACTATCTATTTGAAAAGAGTGCAGTAATGGTCTGAAAAAGACCTTCAATACGTATACAATTTCATAAAAGTATGGCGGCTTCTGCTAACAGATTCCAACACCATTTCAAATTAAGATATATAATGATATATATATATATACGTATATATATATATATATCATGTTATTTTTTTCTTTGAAGTGAATGTTTATAACTATCTGGAGTATTTTCCTTCAAGAAAGTGAATTTTCTCTTTGAAACGGGTGCAAGATTCCCTCAGACATTAAAAACATCATTCCAAATTTCAAGATGGAATTCTTTTGTGTATATAGTGCCTTTTTGAATAAATGAAATAGTTCCTGTAGAGAAGACCTGGTTCTTGAGGAACAACAAACAAGGAAGACTGAACCTTTTCAACAAGAATACTACATGTGTGAAGAAAATATCTTCTAGTTTTGCAGGAACACGGATTCTTGAAAAGGATACTTTGTTGTCTTATGGTGGGGTACTTGCCATGTCTAAGCAACATCGTCATCTTACATGATTTTCAAGGAATATTGCGTTGATGCATTGGATATTGTACTTTTTGACATGAATTCTGCATATTGAAAAGGTTGCTGTAAATTGAAAAGCACGCTACATATGGCACAGGAATATTGCCTACTTGAAGGGATGATACCATATCATTTGGAAGAAGATTGTGTTTTCTCAAAACCGAATGATACATCTTTTAGAGGATTCCTTCATAATTTGTAGGAGTATTGCTTGTTGAAAAAATATTGTACTTTCTCAACGGAAAATTGCGACTTACAGTAATGAAAACTGCATCTTTACAAGCTGGGGGGATACTTAGTTTTTGTATTTAGCATTGCATTTTAGAACAGGACTGCACCATGTTATATAAACTCATGCAATATATTATGGAAACATGTTTCCCCTTCGAGGGAAGGTTGTACTTCTTTAAGGGCACCCTGCATCTTTTAGAAAAACTGTGATATTTTGCAAGGGATAGTGGACGGGTTCATGCAGCTAGTTCAAGGATATTAAGGTGCAAATATGTTTCGATATTCTTATTTTACATTTATGATCCTTTGCCTTATGAATCTGATGTATTTACTTAATTGGATTCAATAAGAAAAACATAATTCGATATAATTTACAAGGAGACTCTTAAACGAGAAACATAGATACGATTTTGCAGGGACTTGCATGGAACCAGATTATATCCAAAACATCTGAATAAAAGCCTAACCTTATTCATTAATGGCAATTTTGATCACATAGTTGGTGAAACGTATGTGCTTAAAAATACAACCTGTTCATATCTGGATTAATTTTATTTAGGATTTGCAAAAAAGAATGCCATTTATCTCAAATTTCTGCCGCTCATAACAGTCCCCTCCCAAATATAAATGTGAGACATGTGATACCAGGAAGCGGCTTCACCAACCTTCTAATTTTTGGATCATATAAATGGCAGTTTTTTCTTGTAAAAATGGAAGATGGGCAGGGAATAGCATTTTTTTGACGAATTTAAGAAGATGAATCACAAACATGGTCGGTAACAACTGTTGGGATGCCGATATGGGCTGTAGTCAGATAGGCTGCTCATTCTCTGGGTCTTTGCTGCAGCTTTGAACATGACCTTGATCAAGTCTGGCTTTCCATTGGATGGGGGCAGCTAGTTGTTGCTGCGCAAATGGACTCCAGAATTCGTTGTTTGCTCCTGGTACGAGCCGTTGGTTTTGGCACGTGGGGTTTCTGCAAAAATGAGGTACTCCCAAGATATTTTGAAATAACATTCACTGATTCCTCATCCTTTTCCCAATGTAAAAAACGGCTATATCTTGGGGGGCCCAATTTCTTGACAGATGTAAGGAACGCCGACGAGAGCTTGGCAAAGCTATCAGAGGAGATTACTCAGAACAAACAAAAGCGAGAAGAGCAGGACTGGATGGTTTCCAGGGGGTATCCCAATAGGCTGGTTTATTTCATGGAAAATCCATCAATGGACGATAAGTGAGGGTACCCCTCCCATATTTTAGGAAACCACTGTTTTGTAAAGTGAACGGTCTGACCCAACCAACAAGTGCGAGGTGGTATGGAGTGAACCAGCTCTGGCACCAGGGTAACTCTTATTTCAGTGACTGCGAGTAAGTAAGACGCAGTTCAAGGAGTAATAGGACGTAATTATAAATGGGCTAAACGCCCTGGTGCCGCCGACCCCCTTTCAAGGGTGGAGGAAGGAAAGCGCAAACGGCAGGCTTGAACGCCCTAACAACAGAGGGCTATGGAGGCAAACGGCAAGCTGCAACGCTCTAACAACAATAACAACAAATGCTTGTGGCCGGAGTGCTTGGTGCAAGCAGCCGCGAGGGAGAAGAAGCGCGGTAGGGGTTTTAGGGGTTTTACGGCTGGCAAACGGCAGGCTTGAACGCCCTAACAAGAGAGGGCTATGGAGGCAAACGGCAGGCTGCAACGCTTTGATCGAAGCAACGAATGCCTGTGGCCAGAGTGCCTGATCGAAGTTCCACTAACAACAGAGGGCTATGGAGGCAAACGGCAGGCTGCAACGCTCTAACAACAAATGCTTGTGGCCAGGTGCAAGCAGCCGCGAGGGATTTGAAGGGCAGGCTTGAACGCCCTAACATCAGAGGGCTATGGAGGCAAACGGCAGGCTGCAACGCTCTAACAACAAATGCTTGTGGCCAGGTGCAAGCAGCCGCGAGGGATTTGAAGGGCAGGCTTGAACGCCCTAACAACAGAGGGCTATGGAGGCAAACGGCAGGCTGCAACGCTCTAACAACAATAACAACAAATGCTTGTGCCTGGAGTGCTTGGTGCAAGCAGCCGCGAGGGATTTGACTGCAACACTCTAACAACAAATGCTTGTGGCCGGAGTGCTTGGTGCAAGCAGCCGCGAGGGATTTGACTGCAACGCTCTAACCACAAATGCTTGTGGCCGGAGTGGCTGGCAAACGGCAGGCTTGAACGCCTTAACAATAGAGGGCAATGGAGGCAATGGAGGCAAACGGCATTGATCGAAGCAACAAATGCCTGTGGCCAGAGTGCCTGATCGAAGTTCCACACCTGCGGTGGTCCCAAGCACCGCCCCTGCCTTGGCGAAGGCCGGGGCCGGCGGACATATGCAACATATGGCTACAACCATGACAACGATGATTTTTTAGGGAGATATAATATACAATCACATGTATCATATTACTATTATCATTATCATTATCATCATCACTATTATTGTTATTATTATTATTGTTATTATTATTATTGTTATTATTATTATTATCATTACATGTGTAAACTCAGTGTAAACACACACACACAGTGTGACAGTGTTTATACGTAGACAGGAGCTGGAGCAGAAGCGAGTGACGCACAAGATCCAGCAGTTGCAGAAGGCCATGGGGATCAACCAATGGATGTAGGTCGTAGCCTCTTGGAATGAACCATGGCGGTAAGTGAAGATATGGCAAAGGGCTGTATTGCTGAGGGTATGTCACCACTTCTTGGTGAATAAATGTGAATAAACTGACCTCCTGAGTTTTCACACTCAGTCTCCCTCTGCGACGGTTGATTCTTGCATGTGGGCGTGTCTGAAAATGGGCACCCCCCAATTCCAATGGATTATCATGAATTTTACCCATTGAATGGCTATTTGGGAGGTTCTACCCCATTTGAAAATTTCCAGACGCAACCAAATCATGTTAAGTTGCTTATGCCATGCGCAGGATGACAAAGAATCGCACGTGGTGGTAGCCCGAATGGAGAAGGAACACCCCTGGATTCAGAAGGAGCAGGCGATTTAGAGCTGAGTTATCCCTTCCAGAGTTAGCCACAAGATCTCAAAGACATATTCCAAAGCTCCAAATGATTTGGACATTTGGTGGAAAGCATGCTTTCACCACCAAAAATCGGGGATTGAGTTCATGTAACCGCCCAAAAATGGATTTTCCCTGAAAAAAAAACATAGTTCTTGCTGTTTCCCTTCACCTTCTGTCAGGCGCTCTTCGGAAAGAAGGGCACGGACTTCGACTTCCAAGGTGGTCGTTATCAGGAAAACAAGGACAGGCTAGAGAAACTCACCACGGAACAGAAGAAACTCAGCAAAAACATCAACAAGAAGGCCTCGGTCCACGGGGAGGGGGTGAAAAACAGAGCTGTTAAGAGACGAAAAAAAAATGCCCCCCAAGGATGGGATGATCCAGAAACACCAACAATTTTTCCGCGTAAAACGTTGCAAGGCTTTTGACCCATCCCGATGGTGATAAACCCTGGTGGTTTGGGGAGATTTTGTTGAAAGAGGGTGAGATTGAGCTATACCAGGCAGCTTTTGTTTAGGACCACTTTGTCGAGGAAACAGGACGTGCTTTCGATGCATCTGGATGATGGTGAGAGTTGTGGCTTCTGAACATCTCACAGAAACAACGTGAGTCAAATTGTCAGGCCATGGCGATGTTTGAAAGAGCTGAGCAGGAGTACAAGGAGATTCGACATCCATCTGTTCATTAGAAGCACATTGACGTTTGATTTGGGCGTCTCTGAAAATGTACAACCCTAAAAACCAATTTAATTTGGGATGCTCATCATTGCTCAGTGGATTTAGGGCTACCCTATTTCAGACAAACCCATTTCGTCCAGTTTCAATTGCCTTCAAGTTACCCCGTGACACTTCTGCAGCTTCAGTTTCTGTACGTCTGAACAGGCACCCTGAAAATCCAATGGTTCATCATCACTAGGCTCCACTGAGTGCACTCCTGTAAGGAGCTCCTATCCAAGAGAGACATTATCTTAAATGACAAGAGCAAAATCGAAAAGGTCATCAAGGAGGGGTCGCCCACCGGCTGCGGTGTTTTTCGGGACACTGTGAGGGGCGGGCAAGTTTGATAGATTGTGATAGATAGCGATAGATAGTGGTGATAGTCATAGATAGTCATAGATATTTTCATAGATGTTTTCATAGATAGTGATAGTATCAGTAGTATCACAGCGACTTTGACCTGCCACCATACCTTGATTCCGTCCAGGACCTTGATGAGAAGAAAACAGAGACCCTGCGACGGACCTGGAAGAAGGTCAACAAGGACTTTTTTTTTGGCATGTTTTCAATTATGGATAAAACCGACAGGCCGTGACAAGCCCAAAAAATGTTTTGGGACATGAATCAATCCCATTTGTGTTTAGTGAACGGAAGTACAGAATTCTTGACCGAAGGTTGTGTAACTTCAAGTTTCTGACAGCGCTTGTGCGGCTTGTGCGCAGATGTCACATATGTCATGTTGAAGGACTTCGACTCCATCTTTGGGACCTTGCTGCCCAACACCAATGCGAAGTTGGAGCCTCCGCAGGGGATGGATGAGACTGAGGGCTTGGAGATCAAGGCGAAAAATTGCTGGAAGAAAGATGAAGAAAGATGGATTACAGTGGCATTTCTGTGGTGCTTAGTCGTTGATTTACTTGGATCGACTTTGATCGACTTTGATATTCATATTCTCATGATTTCTCATATATCAAAGTCATATCCCATTGCAAGATCGATCTGATCCGGGAGGGTTGCTTGTGGATTTAGAGGTGAGGGATGTTGGGCCCACGATCTGGGATCTGGGCAGGTCGCTTTCCACGGGGTTTGGAAGCAGTCTTTGACCGAGTTGAGTGGTGGACAGCGCTCCCTTCTTGCGCTCTCCCTGGTCCTAGCCCTCCTTCTTTTCAAGCCTGCGCCCATGTGCAGAGCTCAGTGCCAGATGTTGACCGAAATGACATGACCAACTTGGGGGTACCAATGAGATCACGGGATTTTGGGGTAGCCATGGGTACTGTAGCCTATTTCTTAGACAGAGCCATTTGAACCAGTCATTTGTGCCCAAAGCCAAGGGGACTTGAAAGAAAACACACCATTATATGCTGCAATTCTTAACAGCCCAGGTATATCCTGGATGAGATCGATTCGGCCTTGGATCTGAGCCATACCCAGAACATCGGCCATATGATTCGGACCCATTTTCCTCATTCCCAGTTTATTGTGGTCTCTCTCAAGGAAGGGATGTTCAATCATGCGAACGTGCTTTTCCGCACGCGCTTTATTGATGGTACTTCAACAGTCACGCGCTGTGCCATTCGCGACGATGACGATCGGGTGGCAATGCCACCCCAAAAGAAGGCAAAGAAAGATGTGCAAGTGAAGTAGTTTCAATGTGATTTCAATGTAATTTTCTCTCCAACTAATTCGGCCAATTCCCTTGGAGAGATGCGCTTTGAAGCTCCAGTCACCAGACACAACATGAGAACACATAAGACATGTTGAGCCCACATTCATTGGCATCACCGACTTGAATGGAGAATAAGAAAGAGAGCTGGTGGAAATCTGGAAAGCTCCGTGAAAAATGTCTGGACGTTGCGACATTTTGTCCATCTTGTTGTTTCATCTAATTAAGTGGGTGCACAACTTAAGCAGCTGGCGGCTGCAATGAGGGGTTGCCCAGAATGCCCGCTCCGAGTCATTCTGTCCTTCAAAAAATTGCGCCGACTGATGATCCAATGGGAGATGTTTCCAGCGGTTCAACACCAACAGAACTTGATGCTTGAAAACCTGACATTTCCCCCATTGAAATGGGGCTAGTTTGGACGAACTCATAGCACATGGTTGGTAATATAATATAACATAATATGATATGATATGAGATAATATGATATAATATAATACAATATAATATAATATTATATAATATAATACAATATAATATAATAAATATAATATAATACAATATAATATAATATAATATGATATAATATGATATAATATGATATAATATAATATAATATAATATAATAAATATAATATAATACAATATAATATAATATAATATGATATAATATGATATAATATGATATAATATAATATAATATAATACAATATAATATAATATAATATGATATGATATAATATGATATAATATGATATAATATAATATAATATAATAAATATAATATAATACAATATAATATAATATAATATGATATAATATGATATAATATAATATGATATAATATAATATAATACAATATAATATAATATAATATGATATAATATGATATAATATGATATAATATAATATAATATAATATAATATGATATAATATGATATAATATGATATAATATAATATAATATAATACAATATAATATAATATAATATGATATAATATGATATAATATAATATAATATAATATGATATAATATAATATAATACAATATAATATAATATGATATAATATGATATAATATGATATAATATAATATAATATAATATGATATAATATGATATAATATGATATAATATAATATAATATAATACAATATAATATAATATAATATGATATAATTTGATATAATATGATATAATATGATATAATATAATATAATATGATATAATATGATATAATATAATATAATATGATATAATATGATATAATATGATATAATATGATATAATATGATATAATATGATATAATATAATATAATATAATATAATATAATACAATATAATATAATATGATATGATATAATATGATATAATATAATATAATATAATATGTATCATTATCTCTCCATTACGTTGAGTTCCCCCCATGGTCTACCCATTCATGGCATTAATATCACCATACAAAATCAATCCCCATTTTGTCCAGATGTAGCCCCCTAAAAATCACCGTTATATCCCATATTCAATCCTCCTACACAACCACCGTAATTCCCCACCATTTTTTACTCTTCATCCCTCATTTTCCCCATCAACAACAAACATTTGGGTATGTGTCAGAACCTATTTTTTCTACCCTTCTGTTCACAGTGGAAGTTATAAGTTATACCGGGAAAATTGATGGTCATCCGCCCTCAGAAGCTACTTATATAGTAGGGGGCGTTAAGACCCCACGGATCCCCATGTCCCCATCAACTGGGGTACTAAGATGCACATAGATGCACTACAAATGGCCCTAAAATGACTTGAACACCTCCATTCCTTTAAAAATAGGACAGCTATAGCAGATGGCCACCTGGTCCACAGGTGGAAGGCCATTTGGCGGTCGGTAGAGGCCTCACCACGGCTCTCTGTGCGGAGCCGGTGATTGATGCACCTCGGTGAGTTGAACGAGACCCATGTCATAGTGCTTTCATGTGCTTTCTTAGTTGATATGATCAGTTGATGAGTTGATATTGACATATATTAAATTACTGTACATTAAATGTATGATTAAACATCATTGAAACATAATTTTTCATGATTCTTGGATGGTCATTAGCTCCACAATACACATTTACATCATATCTCGAAGCGGAATGAAGCACCTAAGGTGGAGGCAGTGGAGAATCTCTGCAATGCCTCCCTGCAGGAGGGGGCTTGGAGGGGAACAGACATTTTTTTCATGGGAAAAACCATGCTTAGACCTGATTTCCTTACAGGAGTTTCCATGAAACAGATCCATTAAGATTATATATTGAGATTGAGATCTGCAACCAACAATCATGAGATCTATCATCGACAAACTGGGTCACCAACTTGATATCTTATTTAAATCCAAGCACCAGGACAATAGTAATCGGCAGTGATCCCCAAACCATCGAAGATAGAGACAGGATCAGAAACAACATAGTTAGAAGTAAATCATACTCAAACACCCCATGAAATTGAATGCAGCCCACACTTGATTGAAGGGACAATTTACGGATTTGCGGGACAATCCTATATTTGATGGTAAAAACCCCATGTATCCTGCAGATTTTCTCAACCAATGATATTGTTTTAATTTGTGATTCCATTTTTAGCCAGTTATATCCCCTTTGAATCCCATTAGATCCCCATGAAATCCCACTGAAACACCATTTTTGTCGACGTAGGACGCCTTGATGGTGGTCTACCTGTCCAACCTCACGCGCACGCAGATCTCCATCGCTGAAGCTTGGTCGGGTGATGGGGCTTTCCTGGTAAACATACAGAAAGATGTGGAAATCCCATGGATTCTGTATGAAAATGATCTAGAAATGGTTGATTAAAAAAAAACATCTATGCTAGTTTACTGAGGGCTTCTGAAAGAAGCACAGAACAACTAGGAAATGCCATGACTGGGTGGATGGGTGGGCCTGTAGCATGGGCCCAAAAGCCTGAGGTTTGGGGCCAGAGAATTTTTCTGCTGGTTCCTTTTCCGTTTAGGTTTAGGGACCGGCGCGAGTTGCCATGTCACTATTTGGGCGGTGGAGTGAACTTCATCGTTTTGACAGTGTCGATGCAGCTCGACAACACTTCAATGTTGGCGACGGACTATGGCAGGCGTTCACCAACATCGTTGGAAACTTCCAGGACGATTTGCGGTTGCTTTCAGCTTTCCCGAGGACTGGCCTCTTGTCTGGCATTGGACAAGCGGTCCTTTCAGATGGCAGGGCACTTACCCCTGTCGAGGCAACTCAGATCGGGCTGGTGTGGCGCCTGTCAAGGAGAGTCATGGCTTTTCAGAGTGGAGCAACCGAGGCAGAGTTCCAAGACATTGACCCGTGGCAAGAGACGCCACCAGCTGATAATTCGAGGCAAACTTCCACTTCGTCAGGAGTAAAGGAGAAGGTCCTGAAAATGGCAGCTTTGATTGACCAGAGCGATGATTCAGAACTTTTACCCCCAGCTGCAGGGGAAGTCACTACATGGTTACAAAACTACCATGCGGTGATGGGGGCTATGCCGGAAGAAGCCGAAGAACCTTCTCCCAACCAACTTGCCGCACTTCATAAAAGAGTCTACAAGGACGACGCCCCTCCCTATGTGGACTTCGGTGTCTTCGGGCCCTTCGAGAGGAAGTTGACGAAGATCCAAAGGTGCAGAATTTACACACCACTAGGTGATGGAACGTACCTCCAACGAGACCTTCCCGGACCACCAACGTATCAGGGATGGTTAGCGTCATGGAGGGTGTTGAAGACGGCTTGCATCATGCTGGACATTGCATCCTTAGCGTCCCTCGAGGTATATGGCAAGCACATCGAAAGACTTGTAACCCAGTGGCCATCGGCATGGGGATTGATTTACAGTGCAGAAGATGCAGCCCGCGCAGAGAGGATGTCGAAACTTCGACGATACTTCACAGTGGAGGCGAGCCTTGGTCGTCAAGTTCCAAGAGACTGGAATGCCCAGGCACCTTGGAGTTGTCTGTTCATACAACTTGCCCGGGATGACACGTACTGGGCAGAGAAAGTACATGTCCCAGCTTCTGCTTGGGTTGCGTCTGGAGCAAGAGGCCAACCAGTGGTAGCCACCGAAGCAGCCGTTAAGGCGCACGTTCCTGGACTTCCAGATACAGTTCCTCATGGTGACGTTGCTGAGCATGAAGATGGAAAACGCAAGCAGTCTAATCGTGACCGCAAAATTGCAAGGAAGAGAAAGTTCCAGGCGAACATGGAAGAGTTGAGAATGTTTAGACAATCCAATGGAAAAGGACACCAGCAAGGGGGTGGAGGCAAAGATTCAGGCGGCAAAGGGAAATCCAAGAGCAAAGATCAAACTGGAGCACCCTTGTGCTTTTCTTGGGCTGCTGGCACAGGAACTTGCGGAAACCTTCCACCTGGTGCGGAGTGTGCTGCAACGATCAAACGAGTCCACAAATGTCGAAAGTGCCTTTCACCGTCTCACCAGGACGCGTCGTGCCCTAAGGGATGACAACGGCATGGACTTGCCACTGCCAGGACATTTCAAAGGACGGGGAAAACATGGTCGTCGATCGTTTGTCGTTTCAATCTCTTTTGTAAGGTAAGTAGGTCTACTTTGTCCTTGTGGTTTGTGGTTTTGGTTTGTCGTGTCATGTGAATTGTTGCATGGACGTTTGATGAAACAAACAGCCAAAACACGTTTTCATTTGATTTTTTTTGGGACCTGCAGTCATGGCTGATGCAGCAAGAGATGAGGGCGGTAGCCCGTGTTCGGTGGATTTTGGGGATGGCGATGAACTGTCGCCGCTCCCCGCCGATACGGATGACGAGCCTGGTGTCAGCCATGGCGGTGGTTCCGAAAACATCAGGGAGCCATCATGAGGCCAATGAGGGTTCACTCAGCCTTGAAGAGTTCAAGGAACTTCGAGGACTTCAGGAGAAACAGGCCCTTCAAGTTCCTCCACATGTACAGTGGTCCAAACGACCCTTTGGGACAGGCGATAAAGATCGAGGCGGCCAAGAACAGATTGGAAACCGTTGTCTTGAGCTTAGATAACAAAATCGATCAAACCCTGGATTTGTCCAAGCCTTCAAGTTCCGCGGCCATCAAGCAAGAAGTTGCCAGGGGTGAATGGGATTACACACATGCAGGATTCCCGTGTGGTAGCTTCAGCATGGCTCGGCACAATGCAACCCCGGGGCAACCTGGTCCTGTCAGGGACAAGCTGAACATTTATGGATACCAGGGCAACACCCCGCAACAGCAGGCCGAAGCTGACAAAGGCACGAGAATGGCAGTGCAGGCGGGGGACATCTACCAGGAGCAAGTCAAGGCATGTGAGGCGAGAAGAGTCCCCCCGTTGGCAACTCTTGAGAATCCTCCAGGAAGTGAAGAATCAGGAGGAGCTTGGGATCTACCTGAACTTCAAAAGGCGCTGGAGGAAACACACGGAGTTAAAGTTCCCTACCATTCATGTGCTTTCATGGCAAGAGAAAAACAACGTTTTCTCAAACCAGAGGTTTGGGCAGGCAGGCTTTCAGGAATTGAAAAGCTTCAGAAGGTCTGCAAGTGTCCTGCGTGGATCAAACATGTGCCACTGATTGGAAAACAGATGACCTCGCTGGCGGCAGAGTACCCGCAGGGCCTGGCCGAAGCTGTGGCGAAGGAGGTCGTGGCCTCTTGGAAGAAGACGCTCAACTTGGAGTGGTGGTGTTATCAAATCGAGACAAAATCCCAGGAGGTTGGCGAACTTCAAAAGAAGTGGCTCCAGAACGAGGACAACAAGAGCAAAGCAGCAGACACGAGGCCACCACCCCAGAAAAGAGCTGCTGCCATGGCCTTCAAAATCGACAACATCGAGAGTGATGACATGGCGAGCGGTTCCAACACCATCCCAATCAAGGAGTTGAAAGAGCACCACAACTTCATGGCGGTGGGAGGTATGAGAAACCCTGCGAGGAGTGTCAGGAGATTAACTCAGCTCTCGGAAGTTGGAAAGAAAATTTCGAAGCTTTGGGAGGAATTTCAAGACTCGCACCCAAAGGTCCTAGAGGTTGCCAGACGATACGGCAAGGCAGACAACACCTTTGACGAGGAGCTGGTCGCCGAGTGGAAAAGGGCCCTATTGGACAACTTCACAAAGATCCAGGACAAGCCAATGGTTGTCAAGGAGAATTGGGAGTTCAATTCACCTCTACAAGCTGATCTTTGGCAAGCGTGGGGTGAAGAAGCTGCAGACCCCGACCTGTGCCTACATGACTTCATGAGGAGGGGGGCACCACTAGGCATGGAAGTGCCCATCCCACCAAGCGGAGTTTTCCCGCCAACGGTGGATCAGGAGGTTGTCAACTCGGATCCGGCTGGCGAGTTCGAGACCTTAAAGTTCCTGACGAACTACAAATCAGTTCGAGATCAACCTGATGAAGCCACGATAGAGATCAACAGGTATGTGGAGAAAAACTTTGCGAAGAGAGTAAAGTGGAGCTGGGTCAAAGACACCCTGGGAACAACGGGCACGGTGTCCAAAATGGCGCTGATTCTCAAGGAGAAGGAGGACGGCAGTGTCAAACGACGCATCATCCTGGACATGAGGAGAAGCTTTGGCAACTCCCGGGCGCGTGTGGAGGAGAGAATAACCCTCCCGAGACTTGTGGATGTCACGGCAATGCTCCAGGAGATGTGGAAAACCAGAGGGGGACCAAAGGGAAAAAGGGAAAACTCGGATACCGATGATTTCGAGTTCTATCTCCTGGACATGCAAGACGCGTTTTGCCATTTCCCCGTCATCAAGCAGGAGTTGAGGCATTGCATAACCCCCTGACGAGCATGACGATGAGGCATTACTGTGGACAGCGATGCTCTTTGGCTACAAGGCCGCCCCACTTATAATGGGGAGGCTGTCGTCTGCCGTCGGAAGATTGCTACAAAGCATGCTGGACCCCAGAAAGGCCCAAATGCAAGTCTACGTGGATGACATCCTTCTGGCAGCCCTTGGAGACAAAGATGCACGTGAAAATCAACTAGCGGCCGTGTTGTATACGGCAGCGGCTTTCGGAGTGCAGATCAACTTGAGGAAGGGCGAGAGGGGGCGTCGAGTCACCTGGATTGGCTGCACCATAGAGGTCCCGGCGGTCGAGATTGGTGAGCCAGAAGTGGTGGTGCTCGGCATATCCAAACAGATGATCGACCAGGTCATCGTCACCCTCCAAACTTGGACTGGAGGGGGCATGGGCACGATCAAAGAACTTCGTGCCACCACAGGCCGTCTGTCATGGGTAGGCGGAGTGTTACCGAGACTGAGATGGACGGTGAACGTTCTGTATGCCACTTTGGCACAGGTGGAACGAGATCAGAAAGATGGGATGGAGGAAAGGAGAGCAGCAGCGCGTGAAGATACACGCAGCAAGACGGGTCTGTTCCCCATCAAGAGGCTGGGAGGTGTCCATCACTGGCTGCTGAAGTTGTTCGAGAACCCGGTGGAGCATCTGGTGAGAGTGGAAAGAATGAAGAAACCGCTGGTGTCCATGGGAATCATCACAGATGCTTCACCAAAAGGCTGGGGTGCCATCCTTGTGAAAGTGGTAGATGGACACCGGAAACAATTGGTGCCATTGGAGGCAGTAGAAGGCCTCATTTCAGAGGACGAGGCAAAGCTGCTGGAGGTGCCTTGGGGAGAATCAGCCTCGCAAGCGGTCATGGAAGCGCTGGCGATCCTGAGGGCAGTGGACAATGGGGCCACAAGCTACGCCTACGAGCTATCCTCATACGAGCCGATAGCTCAGTGGCGCTGGCAATGAGCCGCAAGCTGGCGTCCCCGCATCAATCCTTAAACTTCCTGGCGGCGGAACTGGCCTTGAGATTGGAAAAGTTTGAGATTCAGCGAGTGGTCCACCACCACTTGCGGGGATCGCTCAACGTGGAAGCGGATTGGCTGTCCAGGCTGTTGGAGCGTGGGGACAAACCCAAGCCTCCGGGGCTAGAGGGAGTCCGCCTCCAGAGGGCAGCACCGTGGAAGGCCAGCCATTTCTGGTTGAAAGCCCCGGGCGATCCCTCGGCAGGGGAAAATAGATTCCTGCCGCAAAGCAACATCTTTGATCACCTTGCAACCCGCTGAAAAAACCACAGCCGTTTTATCAGGGCTGGTTGAGGGTTTTGTCAGGGTCAGGGTTTTCATGTCGTTGCGGATCATGTTGTTTTGGTTGACTTCGGGTTTGATGTTGCTTTTGTAGGTTCTTTTCTTTCATCCCACTTTGTTTTGCTGCCCGGTGGGGTCCTTTTCACATTCAGTCCCGGGCAGATCATGGAGGTCCAAGCTGTTGATGCGTTTGGCCCCGCCCGTCACGAGGGAGGCGACGACGCGGTGCTATGGATCCTCCTGTGGGTCTTCTCTTTGGTGATAGCGTTCCTGGCGGGTGCTCTGTGTTGGAGACAATGTGGTTCGCGGCATTGCCACCAGGAGAGAGGGAGGGGCGAACAATGTCTAGAAGGGGAAAATCTGGACAAAATCAGCCCTCTCAGAAGCCCAGTGCACTTGAGCCCGCCGACTTCAAGAATCAGGTCGAGCAACAGTCCCACGAGGCGCAGAAGCAGCTACAGTACATCGAGGTCAAGTCACTCCAGCAGGAGTTCCAAGCCAAAAAGGTCGTTGAACAAGCAACCTCGAGACCAAAGACGAGGAGACCAGGGAGCAGCGCCAGAGGGGATAAGAGGAAAACCAAGTGCAACAGAAAGAGGAAAAGCTGCGTGGAGAGTAATGGAAAGCATGATGACCAACGCAGCGGGAAGTCCTTGGAAAAACGAGAAGGATTAGGCAAGGTGATAAACCCTGGCGACCAAGCAATCCAAAAGAAAGAGAATCACGGAGATCATGCAAAACTGCAACATCACCATCAAAGAGAATGGCATCTCGGCAGACGAGTTATTAACCCTGGCGGCAGTCTTGGGAGAGGCAAACATCAAAAGCGCCGACCAATATCTCGCGGAGGTAAAGTTGCTGCAGTTGGAGATGGGTATTTCCTGGTCTGACGTTTTCGAAAGGCAACTCTGCATGATGAAAAGAGCTCTCAAGCGTGACACCGGTCCTGACGCGAGGGCCAAAGAAGTCAATCCGGAACATATACCTCCGGAACTGTGGGAGCAAAAGTTCCAGCAGGCAGGGGTCCAGAACAGGCCGTGCTGGGCATATGCATGGGCAGTGATCTGGATGCTGAGATGCGTGGAGCTCACACAACTTCTGGCAGGTGACATCACGCTCAACTTCAACGAGGAGACGGTCACCCTGTTCATCCGAAAGTCCAAAATGGACCAGGCAGCGCAGGGTGTCAAAAGAACACTGAAGTGCTGTGGACAAGAAATTTGCGCCAGGCTATGCCCATGGAGCTTGGGAATCAGAATCCTGGCGGAGCACACAGAGGATGATGAGATGGCGCCATTGTTCCCGGACGTCAATGGTGTCAAGGTCCCCAAGATCAAGATAACAAAGAAGTGGATGGATGTCATCGACCCGGGCATGTCAGGTCACTCGGGAAGAAGAAGCGGTGCCATGTGGTATGCAAGAAAAGGTATGCCTATTTATGAGATAGGTACCCTTGGCAGGTGGAAATCATCCACCATATTCAGGTACATTGAGGAGGCACTTCAGGACATACCTTTGAACTCGTGTGTCACAAACTCAAGACCCGCGAGCAAGGTGGACGAGAGCGCCGCCCCAATTGAGGTACCAGATCTTCCACGTCTTCCCAAAACTCCCGGCGGTGAAGGAGCTCCGGTCACGCCAAAAGTCAAAGTGACCAAATCAAAAGTGAACGTGCCCGACCAACCATGGGCAGTTTCGACGGGGAGGTATGGCAAGATCTCCCACCGTGTGAGACGGGCATCTTGGAACCTGGGACTGTCTGCCTGGGATACATGGTGTGGGTGGCACTTTGCTGAAAGAAATGTCAAAGTCACCTTGACGCCCACATATCAGCAAGGCACACAGAAATGCAAAAAATGCGAGCAGCTCACCAGTCCCGCGACAAAGTCAGTGGAGAGATCAGTCTTGCGCAACTGGTGCAATTGAAAGATCCAACTGCTGTGGACAAAGATCTTCAGACTGTAAAGCTCTGCTGACCGATGCAGCAGGACCTCCGACCAAAACAGAAAGAACCTGGAGGGTGGGTGGGACTGCATGCAGCATTGAACGTTGTTGTTTCTAGAGTAAATACATATCTCATGGGTTTTCAGACCAAGCCTTTATCATTTTCCGTGGATATTTCATGAATTTTCATGAGGGTACAGCCAACATCAGCCAACAATACGGGGATATGATGGGAGAGACACACACACACATGATATGGATTGTATATACACATAATGATATGGGATATTATGATTCTGGAATTAATCTGGATATACTATGAAGTATACCCCAACTGCCCTATTTCAACGACAGGTGGGGGGTAGCCGAAAGACAACCAGCAACAAACACTGCCTTGTTTCAGGTTACTGTAGTCAATCAGTATATGATGTATATCCAGATATATTAGATAAAATCAGTAGGATATAAATAATGGATGTTTATAGGATATGATGAATGGCACTAACTACTCGATCGGGATTCCAGAATCTTTGCTAGGAATGCAATTAGTGGGATATTTAATGGGTACAGGACCAACCATTTTGTGCGGATATCTTATGGGGGTATAACCAACAATGTGGGGATGTAATATACAATTGAATACAATTCTATACAATGAGATGCAGTGGGACATAATAAGATATAATGGGATAGAATGATTGGGATATACATATACGTGTATATATATATATATATCTAGTGGATATCTCTGGGGTGAAACCGAACATGGATGAGATGATCTGGGGTTTCCTTCTCCAATTGGGAGGACCTCAAGCTATCATTCAAGTTCGTTGTCATTTTCAATTGGGAAACCAATGGTTTGGGGTACCCCAATTTCTTGAAACAACAATACACAGCCGTTTGTTTTGGGAGATCCACTTTTGACTGATACCTATGATCATATAAATTGATTAAATTCAGAGCAACGATACATTTCCAATTACATCACACCTTAGAACCCAGCACTTCTTTTGGCTTCTCACTCATTATATTAGTATATTATATATATATATTATAGTATCACTTCTATAATCTGATATATAATTTACATATGTAGAATCGTCACATATTATATATTCATATTATGAAAGACACGTACACGTATTGAAGCACATATTGATGATGAAGCAACAGCTCCTTGAGCATCCTCCATGGTTCTTCCTCGCCGCTGAGGAAAAGATCAGTGCCCTCTTCGGGCTGGCGCCTGAGCTGTGAGAAGAAGCCCTGAGCTGTAGCAGATAGCACCAGATAGCACCAGATAGCACCAGATAGCACCAGATAGCACCAGATAGCACCAGATAGCACCAGATAGCACCAGATAGCACCAGATAGCACCAGATAGCACCAGATAGCACCAGATAGCACCAGATAGCACAGAGCTAACCATATGGGGATACAATTCTATAGCTATATCTATATCTACATATATATATATATACACATGTGTAATGAATGGTATATATGTACTGTATATGTATATGTGTATATATATATATATGTATAACGAATGGAACATACTTGACACACACACACACACCCACACAAACACTGCTTGCTGGTTCTCTCACATTCAGTGAGAGGATGCGTTTCGCCGGTTCGCAAGTTTTGTAGCAGACCAGCGTCATCCGGATGGACAGACGCACTGCTGTAAACCAACCGATCACCTCACGCTTGTTGTGACATGGTAGGGCACGGCTGAGCCACAGCATCCAGAAATATCCAGAGAAATGCGACGCCAGCTAAAGATCAGACCAGGAACTTTCAATATGATTGCCTGTTGAACCCTGGAGGGGAATATACATGCTTCAAATCCATAGGGATTGTACTGCATTGTACTGCATTATGTGACATCTATAGATATAATATAGTCGCTGTAGTGGTGCCAACAGGTTTCGCCAGGACCGATGTCTTCTAACAAAAACTACATATATATATATACGGCAGGGGGCGGGGGTTCCCCGAGAGGATGTCAATCAGGATCATTGAATTGGAGAAAAAATAGTGTTTCACTGTGGTAAAATGGAGATTTTTCATGTTGTTCTTTTCATTGTTGGTGTCTTTTAATTACGGATCAATTTTTTTTCGTCCGTCGAAGTTGAAGTCAGTTATGGACCCTCACATTTTGTTTTTTTGGTGCTCTCATTTTCTCCATTGGAATTACGAGGTGGACTTTTTGTTTTATATCAAAGATCATTGGAAAAGGGTATAATATACTGTGTTTCCACAGGTATTTTGATGTGATGCTGTTTTTCATTGGTAATTCACAGTGTTTTTGCATAGCATCAAAAGTTCCGAATGCTGACAGTCAGCTGTTTTTTCTGTTTTTATACAAAAGCATTAGTACAAGACATATCAACCACTATAGAAGGCAGAAACCCGACCAATTCAAATGTTATTCTATGCAACAAGATACCATCGTAGAACATTAAAATAAAATATAACGATGGTGGTACATTACGTTAGGATACCGATACATTTTGCTTGATTGGGATAAATCATTATTTGTGTTCCGCCACAAACGCCGCAATCGTTCGCGGCCAAGTCCCATCTGGGTAACCCAACCTCAAGCACGCAGCAGGCATGTGCCACCCGCAATCCCCCCGTATGCATGACAAGTACAAGATAACTTACACTAGCGTAGCAGGACTCATGCATGACAAGTACAAAAGACATCACACTAACGTAGCTTGACGTATGCGTGACAAGTACAAGAGACATCACACTAGCGTAGCTTGCCGTATGCGTGACAAGTACAAGAGACAACACACTAGCGTAGCTTGCCGTATGCGTGACAAGTACAAGAGACATCACACTAGCGTAGCTTGCCGTATGCGTGACAAGTACAAGAGACAACACACTAGCGTAGCTTGCCGTATGCGTGACAAGTACAAGAGACAACACACTAGCGTAGCATGACGTTATCACCCCACCCCACCCCACCCCACCCCACCCGAACCCTTCACGCAAGTTCCATGAACGTTATCACACCCCACCCCACCCCACCCCACCCTAACCCTTGACGCAACTTACATGAACGTTATCACACCCCACCCCACGCCACCCCAACCCTTCACGCAAAGTTACATGAACGTTATCCCCACCCCACCCCACCCCACCCCACCCCACCCCACCCCTTCCCCCCCTCGGGGAACCCCCGCCCCCTAGGGTATATATATATAATTATACATCACACATTTTGATGAATCTCATTCTGTCTACAACAGGATGCAACGGACATCAACAAATCTCATCTCGCCAATCAAGACTTCCGACCTCCCCAAAATGGGCTGTGCATCAGCCAGAACGTCGCAACCCCTGCGACCTCTGCACAAAGCACGGTTCGAAAAGAAGTGCTGGAGCTTCCCAAATGTGGCAAATCCATGTAAATCCAAGAATAAACCTACCATTGGGGTTTTATAGTAACCATCCATAACCATCCATTTATAGTGATATTGGAGATGGTGGCATTAGGTTTACTACGCAGTGCTCAAAACCCCTGTTGATTCTGGATGGATGATATATTATCGCGTACTGTCCTGAATAAAGGAAGGACAGAGTCTTGAACACTGCTGACATTTTTTTTTACTTCAAACATCATGTGGCAAATCCAACAATAATCCTACCGGATGGTTTTTAGCACCCATTCCTTTGAATCTGGGCGAAATTTGAGGTATATTTTTGGGATGATGCACAACTTTTTTGGAGATGGGCAACGAGCTTGGGTTTATTGCCTGCAACACGTAGATGCAATTTCTGTGTGCATTCTGTCGGCGTTTTAACGTTTCAAGCGGCATTAGCAGCATTTCTTTCTCGTCCCTGCAAGAAACATTTCGCTCTACTTCGTGCAGGAACAATCTAATCGAATCTAATCAACATTCTTCATACAGCAAGCCCTACTGCATAGGAAGGTCATGTTGGGAAGTATGAACCTGGCTTGAATGCTTGGTACAGTGGAACCACTGAAAGGAAGGCTCTGAGTAGTTTGATGCAGAAGATGAACCCACACCATTCTCACTCTTTTCCTAACTGAATGCCTTCCACGTTCTGGTGATGCATGAATTTATTGGAACAGTGTGGAACAGCTTTGTAATGTTATGTATATATATATAGAACATCACAGGCTTTCCCAGCAAACACCTTTCCATACCTTTCCCATTTTCCTTACGCTTGCCTCCAGAGAACTCCTTGTTGCATGCAATGTCGGGATATCCGGCTCCTTGGATGCAGCAGTGGAAGGAACGGGAACTGAATGTCACTTGAGCTACAGGGTCTCAGAATTTTTCTATGTGCCAACACCCAAGTTGCCACCCCCAGAGCTCAGGAGAGATCAGAGACCTGGTCAAAAGAGCAGTTCTTCGGGCCTCTCCACGATCAGTTTAAGCTGGGGAGACGCTTGGGCAAGGGAGGCCAGATCCCCTTGGGAGATCCTGTGATGGGGACAGATTCCGCGGAAGGAACGGTGACAACGGCTCTGAGTCATGGCTTAAAGTTAAAGCCCAGACACACAGACACAGATTCATCTAAAGGTCATCCAAAGATTATTGAAAGATCATCCAAAAAGATGTAGGATTATATATATATACATACACATGTAGTTTATAGTCAATATATATATATAGATAGATGATGTGTAAACTTACACACAGACACATGATAAATAATACACTAGAAGGGCTGGCCCAGAGATGACGCGAACAGGTCAGGCAACGGTCTACGAATGCACTCGAACGCGGACGGAGAAGAAATATGCTGTGCCTGGGACAGTGGCTGATAGTATGCCATAGTTCATCAGAGCATATTCTACTTGCATTTTTCTCAAGTCATTTCACAAGAGAAGTTCTGGTGTACCGGAATTAGCACCACAATCTTTTTGCTTGGGTCTTTTAAATAGGATAACCACTATTTCTTTTCATTGATTTCCATCCCTTACCTGGCTTTTTTTGAACTCGCATCAGCATGACTTTCCGATATCTTTCGGCTGTGGCTCAGAAACTTCCCACCATTTGCTCCTGAGGTTAAGGTAATTGAGATGAAAGCCTTGAACTTTCAGAAGAACGACGGCGAGCAAAACCTTCGGCGGGAGATTCGGAACATGGAGGAGCGGCCGCCGCTGTTGTGGACGCATGGTCAATGGATGATCAGATTCACATGGGAAAGTTTTCAATTATATATATATATGAGATATAATATGTAACGAATAATTAATTGAGAGATGTGAGTTCATTGTTTTTGGGTACCATCTATCTGTGGAATTCTCACTATTTTGGCAATTTTGGTGCCTTTTGGTTCCTGGGTGCCAAGAAACCCAGGCAAGCCGCTATAATTGGCGGGTATTCGCCAGGGTTTCCTGTAGATATTTTCCCTTAAATCAATCTATTGATTTGGTGATTGAATCCCCATTTTTGGCCAGATATATCCCATTGAATCCCATAGACTAAGACCATTTTGGTGAGTGAAATCCCATTCTGAGTCTTAGTGATTTTGTATGTTCTCTCAATCCTCTTAGTCAGAACTTCTTCAGGAGCTCTTTCACCCGCGAATCGTGAACCTGCTGACACACCTGTATGAGGACTGAGGTTTCAGGGTCAGCCATGGTCTGAAGCAGAGATTTCACCATCAAAAATGGTGATTTGATGGTGACTTCCTAACATCATGTGGTAAATCCAATAAGGACCCCCGATTTTAGGAAAGTTGGCACCCATCCATTTCTGGTAAAATTGGGGATTTCTATTAGGTTTACCGCATTAATCACCTTTTTATCTCCGTGTGGTGCTTCGTAATATCCAAGTGTGAACTTGGGTAAATGGGAATGCTCAGGTTTATCATTAGGTCTACCGCGGTATACCACATTTCAATAGCTTCTGAAGCGCTTCCCCTAGACTCTACCTAGACAACACTAGAGGGTTTGATCCTTGAACACTTCAGCAGTTCGGAATTCTATTCGGATGCTTTAAGGCCCGACATTTCAAAGTTATCGATGCTTTCAGATCCAACAGCTATGACCTCAAGAACTCGACCCGTGGCAGGAGAACAGGTGTTGGCTGGTCATGGATCTTGCTCGCGGTGGGGACTTGCACAACAAGATCTTCGATGAGCTCAACATTTCCATCAAGAAAGGCTTGAAAACCAGCGGCTAAGTCGGCTAAGTAATTGTTGAAATGCTGAGTTATTCCTGAAACCATCAAGAAAATCCTTGAAACGTGGTTCTGGAAGCATGAGAAAGTGAAGTCGGGGGTGTTTCTCCGTAGAGACAACCATTCGGTGTATGGGCTGTCTCTCCCGTACAATAAAGCCTCCTAAAAGAAGTTGCCGTTGCTTCCTATCCATCAGCTTCATTATAGCTGGCTCGGATGATGTGACTTCGGTTCAGTGAAAGACCAATCTTCTGGCCAAGTGGACAAATGGATTGAAATGTAAAGTAGACGCTGATATCTAGAATCTAGAGAAAGTCTCCATGTTTTTTGCTTGTGGCTTTTTGATTTGGATGGTCTGAATGGTCTGAGGGAATGTATTTGATAATTAGCAGCCTGCACAAGTGAAGGTGGGGGTGTTTCTCCGTAGAGACAACCATTCGGTGTATGGGCTGTCTCTCCCGTACAAAAAGCCTCCTAAAAGAAGTTGCCGTTGCTTCCTATCCATCAGCTTCATTATAGCTGGCTCGGATGATGTGACTTCGGTTCAGTGAAAGACCAATCTTCTGGCCAAGTGGACAAATGGATTGAAATGTAAAGTAGACGCTGATATCTAGAATCTAGAGAAAGTCTCCATGTTTTTTGCTTGTGGCTTTTTGATTTGGATGGTCTGAATGGTCTGAGGGAATGTATTTGATAATTAGCAGCCTGCACAAGTGAAGGTGGGGGTGTTTCTCCGTAGAGACAACCATTCGGTGTATGGGCTGTCTCTCCCGTACAATAAAGCCTCCTAAAAGAAGTTGCCGTTGCTTCCTATCCATCAGCTTCATTATAGCTGGCTCGGATGATGTGACTTCGGTTCAGTGAAAGACCTCTGGCCAAGTGGACAATTGGATTGAAATGTAAAGTAGACGCTGATATCTAGAATCTAGAGAAAGTCTCCATGTTTTTTGCTTGTGGCTTTTTGATTTGGATGGTCTGAATGGTCTGAGGGAATGTATTTGATAATTAGCAGCCTGCACAAGTGAGGGTGGGGGTGTTTCTCCGTAGAGACAACCATTCGGTGTATGGGCTGTCTCTCCCGTACAATAAAGCCTCCTAAAAGAAGTTGCCGTTGCTTCCTATCCATCAGCTTCATTATAGCTGGCTCGGATGATGTGACTTCGGTTCAGTGAAAGACCTCTGGCCAAGTGGACAAATGGATTGAAATGTAAAGTAGACGCTGATATCTAGAATCTAGAGAAAGTCTCCATGTTTTTTGCTTGTGGCTTTTTGATTTGGATGGTCTGAATGGTCTGAGGGAATGTTGCCGTTTGCATTGACAGCAGACTGACAAGTGAAAGTGCATGATCAATTTTGCTAGGGAACATTGGCCAAGTTACCCCTGATAAATTTCATGTTGTATCCTGATGCCTGCTCATGTTTTGCATGTTGTCGTTTGTGATTGATATGACATGATGTGATATCATAGATCATCATAGATCCACATCAATACACATGCATCTATTATAGTACATCATATATTGCATCATATATTGCATCATATTTTGCACCAAATTATTGCATCATATATATCGCATCATATATTGCATCATATATTGCATCATATATTGCATCATATATTGCATCATATATTGCATCATATATTGCATCATATATTGCATCATATATTGCATCATATATTGCAGCATGTATTGCATCATATATTGCATCATATATTGCATCATACATTGCATCATATATTGCATTATATATTGCATCATATATTGCAGCATATATTGCAGCATATATTGCATCATACATTGCATCATACATTGCATCATACATTGCATCATACATTGCATCATACATTGCATCATACATTGCATCATATATTGCATCATATATTGCATCATTTCTAACCCCTGGTCGCCCAAATGGGGAAAGTTAACGCATGCCACTCAAATATCGTACTCCACATACCAGAGCGGGAACGCACTCCACAAGTTTAACACGCTCCACAAATTTAACGCACTCCGCAACAGTTAACGCATACCATGTAAACATCGTACTCCTAACACCCCACATATAGTGGCTCTAGGCTATCTACAGGGAAAACGCATACCTGAACTTCATCGCCTATCATGGCAGTGCCTGGACAATACCCTTAAACTTGAAATGGGCATGCTCAATCCGCATACCTGTGTGGGAACGCACTCCACGAAGTTAACGCATACCGTGCAAACATCGTACTCCACATAGTAAGTCCAGGTTACCTACAGGGGTAACGCATACCGATGCTTCATCGCATACCATACGATGCACGAATAACACCATTATACAGCCTTTTAGGGTGCTTCAGCCATTTTGGCTTGGAGTATGGCCAGCCTTGGAGTATGGGTAAGATTCTGGGAGAATCATATATTGCATCATATATTGCATCATACATTGCATCATACATTGCATCATACATTGCATTGCATCATATATTGCATCATATATTGCATCATATATTTCATCATATATTGCATCATATATTGCATCATAGATTGCATCATATATTGCATCATATATTGCATCATATATTGCATCATATAGTGCATCATAAATTGCATCATACATTGCATCATATATTGCATCATATATTGCATCATATATTGCATCATATATTGCATCATAGATTGCAGCATATATTGCATCATATATTGCATCATATATTGCATCATATATTGCATCATATATTGCATCATATATTGCATCATACATTGCATCATACATTGCATCATATATTGCATCATATATTGCATCATATATTGCATCATATATTGCATCATATATTGCATCATATATTGCATCATATATTGCATCATATATATCGCATCATATATTGCATCATATATTGCATCATATATTGCATCATATATTGCATCATATATTGCACCATATATTGCAGCATATATTGCATCATATATTGCATCATATATTGCATCATATATTGCATCATATATTGCACCAAATTATTGCATCATATATTGCATCATATATTGCATCATATATTGCAGCATATATTGCATCATATATTGCATCATATATTGCATCATATATTGCACCAAATTATTGCATCATATATTGCATCTATTATTTTCACAATGCATCATATTGCATATCTCTCTATTTCCGTCATCCCAGTCCTTCCTTAAAGAGCCACCGAACCACGGACTTTTCGTTGTCGCTTTTCAACGAGACTCTCCGGCAGGGGACGACCACTTTGCGGGTCTTGGGCAGTCCGAACTGGCCTCCAGACACGTGGCACAACAACTCTTGGAAGGCGCAGAGTCAGCTTCCTCGGGTAGCGCCCGTGACACGTAGATGATATACCCTCTGGTTATTGAAAATGGCCATTAATAGTGGATTTTCCCATTAAAAATGGTGATTTTCCATAGTTATGTTAGTTTACCAGAGGGTAGCTATGGAGAATCCACTTTTTTTGAGAAAGGTAATCATCATTTTTATCATATAAATGTGCCATCGTAGCTATGTTAAATAACCAGAGGCTACCTACTAAAGATGGTGGTTTTCCATAGCAATGTTAGATTAAACACAATGAGGTGTGTCTGAAGTTTGCGACTTGATGTATTCAGATAGATTATATATATACGTATATATATATACGTATATATATATAAATTTAATATATGGATAAACTTCTAAATGTCTATTGATTCGCTAGTGCGGTTTAATTTTAGTTGATGCACATATTCTGGGATATGCTTTTGTGATATTTGTCTATATTGAACCCATTGCTGTGTAGCCGACTGGTCTGAATCAAATTGATCCAAGTTCGAATCTCATGCAAACTGCACCTAAAAATATTGGCTTTGTGCTATTTGTACCAAGAGGAATCATGTGGCAGGCGTGGGCTACATGCATTCTTTTGGCATTGTCCATCGTGACATGAAACTGGAGAATGTGTTGCTGAGCGGCAGATTGCAGGATTTTCACGTTGCTCATTTGGGATGATGCCCAATTTGTCATCAAACCCTTTATATATATATGTGTGTGTCTATTTATATATATATATTTGAAGTCTGGTAACGCTACGCTCGAAAACCGTTCATTTTACCTTGGAAACATAATCTGAAATTAAACCACTTGCATCATGCTACACTCTTAAAGTGAGTTTTCAGGATCACGACTCAGGATGCCTCGAAAAAATCTGAAGTGACCATGACAGTCCAATGAGTCCAAAAAGCTACCATGACTTGATCCCAGGGCCCAGTAGTTGAGCGCCTCTCAGGTTGATCGTGCGAACCTATGCGTACCCTGGACCTGCAGAGAAGAACTTCCCCATACCATCGGAGGTGCACGACGTGACCTGTCTGCGCCCATGGATCCCATGGGTTGTAGCACCCTATGACCTCCCGATTCATCCATGATGGTGATATAAACTTGGGGCAATGTTGACATTTGCACAGGCCTTGCTCCCCAAATGTGGCAGAGTTTGAAAGCCATGTCAGCTTGGATGATTGTTCAGGTTTACAAAAACGAAGTGCCATAAAGATCCCACCGTATTATCCCCAGTGGGTAGATTCCCACCGATTAGTGTGTATACAAGCATAATCAAGCATCATATAAATGTTGTTTCATCCATTTAATCCGCGATCAACTATTGATCAACCAACCAATCAAAGCCGGAGCAGAAGGGTGGCGAAATGTCCAGAGCGCATCTCTCCACCGCTGCCGAGGTCAAGATCACCGACTTTGGGCTATCTAAGAACATGCAACTTGGTGGCACAGATGTCAAGAATATCCAAGAATTATGCAAGGAAAAGACCTCTGCCCAAGACCTACCTGGTGGCAAGACATGCCTCGGCAGTTGGAAACATCTAAAGTTTTTAGTTGCTTTCATTAACCTGGTCCCGGAGGCCCAGAAATTGCTGCATATTGTTGATAGGTAATGATAGGTATACATTGTATACACCCATTGTAGTTATTTGTAGTTGATAGTTGGGTGGGTGTCATTGCCATGCTGACAAAAAAGTACATTGAATTCCCATTCGTGGTCAAATCCCCGAATGTTCGTTGGTAAACTCTCCATCATTCTGGCTTTAGACCGCGTCGGGCTGGTGCTGCTTGGATCATATTTTGGTCCGTTGAATCCTTAGTCTTCTTGATACAGGGTGAAACGTCCCATTCCACCAAGCACCACAAGGATACAAGCCTTCTGCGATTTGGATTTGTACAAAACTGGGAGATGCCATCATGTCATCGCAAGTTTTGATGGGGGAAATCAAGTAATTCTTAAACCAGCGTTTGATACAGTATTGTTCCCAGAAACTCTGACAAAGTTAAAGCCTAAATCTAAGAGTTTAAACTTTTAAACCATCCGGATTAGAGCTATCTCATGTTCTATCATGTTTTTTTTCCTTTTACGGATCACCACCCATTGATTCCTCACGAAAAAACCACACCAGGCACAGCACCCCGATGCTAAGACGCGCTACAGCCGTGGGATCGCCGGATTTCGTGGCACCAGAGGTGTCACTGGGGATCCCCAAAAGCTGCTGGATGGTTTTTCTACATCTTTATTTCATGGAAAATCCTATCTATAAATGGAAAAAATGTTGGTTTATAATATGGAAAATCCCAATCTGAAATGGATGATAACTGGGGGTTGCCCCATTTTAGGACACCTCCAAATGATTCCAAATGGGTGTGTCTGAAAATGAAGGGTTGACCTAGAAAAGCGGTCATCAATTGATCTCAAATGGTTGATCATTTTGAGGTCAGTGAATTGTTGAACACTGTTGAACCGCCTTCTTGTTTGGGTACCAATGAAGCCATTTTTGTTGGTAAGATTTGACCCAGAACCACGGTATTTTTCTGGGATGTTTAAGCCCTATTGTTTTTGATGGGTCAAACATCACTAAAGAAAATGAAGCAGAATCTGGCAGAATTGCATTCACGATTACATTTTCTTGTGTGCACAAAACAGTAACCAAATTGGTTGTTGGTCAAGCCAGCGAAAGTTAACATTAGTTAGCAGTTTCCTACCTGTCTTTGCCTTTCATGGTCAGGTGCTAGTCGGCGTATGTGATCAGGCTCTGGTGCTCGTTGCTAGTGTCACTAGATGGGGGGAGTCTGCAACAGAAACGTTCATTTCTACGGATGAAACATGATAAAACTGTGAATCCCAGAAATGATCAAAGGGAAAAAATACACAAACCCAGCAAGTGGGCTCCGAATCTTTGTCGTTTCCTGCAGATTTTTGTCGGCAGAGGATGATCCAGTACAAGTCATTACAATTCCATAGTGACCCGGGTTGTAAGATAACTGGATTAGAGCCATGAATTCAAGAACCAGACTGCCAAATATATCCACATATTCCCTTCAAACTTGCCATGACTGACATGTCGTGTGTTCGGCTAGACTGGCGACTACTGGAGCTATGGTGTGATGATCTACGCCATGATTTGTGGAGAGTGGCCCTTCACCATCAGGACCAGTGCTACCAAACACACCACGTTGTGGTATGAGTCAAAAATTTTGGACCCTGAACATGACAGGTTTAGACTCAAAAGGGCTTTGTCATTTTTCGTGCTTCTTCTCCAAGAAACACTCCGTCCATCTCCGTCCAATGGTTGATCATCATTTTGCCCGGTTAAAATCGAGAGTTTACATCTCTGTCCAATGGTTGATCATCATTTTGCCCGGCTAAAATCGAGAGTTTGCTATAGTTTACTATTATGATCTATTATGGCAATTCGCCCAAGTGGCAATTTTTCTCCGCTTCAGTGATGATCCAGGAGCAAAGATCTCGTCCCAGAGCGACACAAGGAGGCGCTGGCCAGTGCCTATGGGGTCACCGGGTGACCGTCTCATCCCATCATCCAGCCAGGTCGTTTCATGCATAAAGGCGACTCGATCATGGCAGCATGCCTCAAAGGAGGCGCAGGGACCTGGAGACCTGGAGAAATTCCAAAAATGATCGTAATGATACATCTGAAAAGGGATCAAGTTGGATCCCATGTGATACTCCTTCCAGTTTCATCAATTTTTTCATCATGTCTTATTGCTACTTCGACGGCATTGGACCACCTACAGTCTGATGTTCTGTCTCTGCGTCCGGCAGGTGCGAGCTTTGGTTGAGGGTCTACTGAAAATCAACGCCTCGTCAAGGCGCGCGTTTGTTTAGGTCCTTGATGTCCAGGACACTGGCCACACAGTTGCCCGTTGCCCGTCATGCCTGTCATGCCTGTCATGCCCGTCTCAGGTTTACACACGTGGAATGTACACACCATCCGTGGTTTTCAAGCTGTTCAGCAGAGTGCTACAAGGCTCGACAGATTCGACAGCTGCTTTGAGACTTCCAGCTTGGCCAGACAAGGAATTTTGCGAAACAAACATGTCACGGTCTTCGCTTATGACAAGTTCACTGCATAGCCACACACACACATATATATATTTATATATTATATATATACTAGTACAGTTAATATAGTTGGTGTTTGTCAAGAAATGCTATACTATCTGGGGATTTGTGAAAAACTCATTGTACTGTACCGTACTCGGGAGTGATGCACACCATTTCGCTGAAGTTACCTTGATGTTGGCTAGGGGCCCAAAAACAAAGCCACATACTAGAACCAAGCAAAATGATAGTTGAAGTTGACGGGACCAAATCTGTGGCAAAACGATTTCCAATATCAGGATTATATAATATTATATTCTAGGATTATATAGGATTATAGGGATGCAACCAGTTTGAAACCCTGCGGTTTTCATCAAAACTTTCCAGGTGGCGCTTGCGGAGGGTGTACCTCTCAAAGCCGGAGAGCCTCGAGGTGTAATTCAGGAGATCTGCGGCTGTGTCTTGGTGGCCACATTCTGTGGAAAATGGAAATGATTTTGTAAACCATGGTTCCAAGATGTTCCAAGGGTTCCCCATTTTCGGACTCCAAGATTAGCACATATTAGCACATATTAGCATCACACTTTGCGATTAAGAGATCGCCCAAGGTACAGGCTATGCTGTGGACAATTTGCAGTTGAAACTTCGAAGTGGAACAACTTTGTCGTACGGAAGCTCGAAGCTGAGAGATGTGCCAAACTGGGTGCCATGGAAGTCGATACTGCCGCAAGCTGCCTGCATCGCAGGTGCTGGTGGCGACATTCAGCAGAATTGGAAGCTGAGGCCAACAGCAATGGAATTTGATGAATCTTTCTGGGTTGAATTGGTAAACATCATCTGTGGATGGGTTAAGACCTATATATTTACTATATGTATATATTTACTATATGTATATATTTACTATATGTATCTATATATATATGTATATAAATGGGGTATGAACATACAAACACATACTGCAAACAGCTATGTTGATGCAGCAGGGCACGAGGCTTCTGATCCATGCTGACCGGATTTTCTGGTCCTGCCGCACCATGGGAGGCCGGATGAGAGGCTCACCGCGGTCTTGCAAGAGGCTCGTAACAGAAGATTCTAGCAGGGGCTACTGCATACACAACCCTCCGGTAATCAAACATGACATTGGAACATCTAGTTCGATGATGTTCCCATTCATCATATTAATCCCAATTAATCCCCCCATTGAGTTCGCGGATTTCGCAATGTTTGATTACCTTACGGGGTACGGGGGAAACCATGGGTTTCCAGCAGAGATGCCAGGAGCGACACGACTTTTTGGGCCTTTCCATCAGTTTCCACACCTCGCGCGGGGATGTGCTGGTGCTACAGGGAGCCGAAGCCCGTAAGCGGCGCACCTTCCTAGCGCCCAGTGGCAGTCAGATTGTTGGACTCCAATTCCAAGGCGAACTTTGGAGATTTGGCAAGAAAAACATGGAACACACATGAAAACACATATCAAAAAACAATGACCACCAATTGAGAAGGATTGTTCTGATGTAACCTCAGAAAACCCTGAAAATGTGGAGATGTGAGGAGTTGACATGCTGGTGATTGCGAGTGACTTCTTTAATTCGACTGCGATTGTTTGAGCCGAGTTTCAGCTACTTGTCATCTTGGGGTCCGGCAGGGCATCGTTTGATCGGGATCCACCTAGAGAAGATCACCATGGAGGACGACGGAGATCGTTTCAAATGCTTCGAGATATTTCTACAAAGCCAGGATGCTTGTGGGAAAGTGTGGGTAAGTGGAAGAGCTGGAAGAGCTGACAAATCAAACACCTGAGAAGCAAAGAAAACGCTAAAGGGAAAGAGCCGTCAGACATGAAACGTCCCGTCTCGGAGAAGCCCATGGCCCATAGAAATGGAGCTTCGGAGCCCCGACAGCTTTCTGCAGGAGCCCGGCCTGGTGGCATCTCTGGGAGGTCGTGTGGGGCATGCAGTGGACAAGGCCCTTCCCGACGGAGGGTTGTGACCGGGGTCGTTTGATGAAGGCCAAATTTTATGGTTTCATTGGTTAGTTGATTGATTGGATTGATTGGTTGATTGATTGATGATTACCCTCTGGTAAACAAACATAGCTATTGAAAATTGCCATTTATAGTTTATTTACCCATTAAAAACATTAAAAAATGTGATTTTCCATATAGTTATGTTAGTTTACCAGACAGAGGGTATCATAATCCATGATGGTTCATGGTAGTATAATTGTTAGTTTACCATCTATTCCATAATCCATGATGGTTCCTGGATTGTTTGTGTTTTGTTACCAGCCTATTTTTTTCAGCAGCGGTGCAGGTCTGGTTCCAACTGCGCGATGGTTCTCTCCGAGAGTATGGCAACTCGGAGGGAGGAGCGAGCGGACACGGGGCTTGGTGGGCTTGGTTGTGAACGATGAAGCATAATAGCCATGTCTTGGGGGAAGGTCATACCAAACTTGTTTTTTTTAAAGGTACGGTATAGATATTAATATATATATATATGTACCATTGTATACCTATAACTAAAATATATGATCTATACGTATATTAATATATATATACATAATAATTACAAGGCCTATACTTGGTATTGTATCTATACACTACATATGATGAACTCTGCCTGCAGGAGTCGATCAAGGGCCCTGGGCACTGGAGCAAGGGGAGCACATCAATGCTGTGGAGCAGGCACTTCACCTGGGGAAGGGTACCACATGGTACCACCAAAATCACATAGCGCACATGGCTCACTATCACTTTACTCAGAAATCGGGGTATGCCGATGTGTTCTCTATTTTCGGACAAACTTGTAGTGTTGTGGCCTTGACAGCTTCCAATGCTCTGTGCCAATGTGTAGCTTGGCAGGATTTGACATGAATTCGTGTGTTTTCTCACTGCAGATCCAACCATAGCCATCTTGGCTTAAGGGACAGTTGTAGTCCACGCCGCGACACTAGGTTGCGTGGACGATTGGGGACCATGCGTCGTGGTACGCGCGGTGCATTCGCACCTGCGCTGCTGGCGCTGGTTGGTGTGCTGTTGGGCTGGCTGATGTTGGTGTCATCCGACAGCCTGATGTCAGCCTTCGTGCCGCCCGTCACAGAGCCCCGCACGCCAAGTTCAGCCTTGCGGCACAACGAGCTGAGGCAGGCCCCTCTGACGACAACACCAACGCCAGTTTTCGCGGCAATGGCGTTGGCAGGATGCTTGGCAGCCAGTCTACGCCTGGTAAGACGCCATGCCCATACCTCAGCCAGGGCGGCTCATATGGTGCAATTGAAGGCAGAGCCCAGTGACAAGGAATCCAAAGAAGACAAGGAGGAGGTGGAGGAGGAGGAGGAGGAGGATGAAGATGAGGAGTTTGAGGATGAGGAAGCAGCAGAAGAGGATGAAGATGACCTAGATGAACTTGTCATGGATGAGGACGATGAGGATGATGACGAGGACTTTGAGGACGAAGATGATGACTTTGAGGCAGGTGATGATGAAGTGCTCTATGGAGAGGATGACTTGGATGATGGCTTCTTTACCACAGATGAAGATGGCGAACCCTTGGAAGCTGTCTGCAAGGCTCGTTTCCTGAAAGGCTCTCCCTGGAAGTTCCGCCGCGTGCTGTGGCAGATCCGTGAGAGGACCTACCGTGAAGCTCTGATGCTATTGGAGTTTATGCCTTGGAGAGCCTGTCGTCCAACTTTGTGCGCCTTGCAATCTGCAGCTGCCAATGCTCAGAACCAGTTCAACATGGACAAGGCCCGGCTCTATGTCTACAGCTGCAAGGCAGATCGTGGTCCTTACTCCAAGCGAATGAGACCAATGTCCAAGGGACAGCCCCACCAGTATCGCAGGCGCAGCACGCATTTGGAGATCGTTGTGCGGGAGATGTCAGATTCAGAAATGATGAAGAACAATGAGTTCGCCTGAGAGCCGGAGCAGACCTGACATGACCACTTTGAGGAAAAGAGCAGCGCTGGTCATTCAGCAGGGCTGATGCTTGATCCTCTCAAACGGATTCACGTGATGTTGTTGAGAAACCAAGCAGTCTTTCCTTTCACAAGTGATTTTAACATGTTAAAAGAGGAGAGTTCTTTTTGTGGTTCGCCAGATGCTCCATGTATGCAACATTTGCCAACATTTACCGCCAACATCAACCACAGCTATGGAAGTACATTTATTATAGGTACATCAGCTACCAAACAAACCATACATGGAGCATATGGCGAACCACAGCTAGAAATCACCGGCTTAACTGCTGATTGCTACGCTGCTGCTTCTGCAGTTGGTGCGGGATGCATTCCTGGGAACCTCACTGGCCTTCTACACCTCCGCCGGGAGCATCTTTTGCCTGAAGGGAATGGAGGACTGGGTGCGTCGTAGATCGTCGCAGCGATGGATTGTGATGTGGTAAAATCTGTGAAAGATTGCTGATGTACTGTATTTTTTCCCGTGGTTTTCGTTTGGTGTATCTTTTTGAGTTCATTTTTACTGACATTCACAGCAAGTGACCTGGCTCGCTGGCACAGCCACCATATCCACCATGCAGATGTGCTCGCTGGAACAAGTTCCGTCAAGGTTGGCCAATGGTGGCTTTGAATAGTTGGTGTCTGTGGATATCAAATGTCATACTTGTATCATATTGCATTATATCATATTATATCAATTACATAACATCATATGATATTATATTATACTACATCATATCGAATCAAACCATACATCATATAGCATATATCGTACATCATATATCACATAGCATACATCATATAAATTGTCATATATTATGGCATACTGGCATACTATGTCATACTATATCACGTTATATCGTCATATCATATCAGACTCTTTCATATGGCACCATATTCTATAGTATCCTATACTATTATATCCTTGCATTTTTTCATTGTATCTCTATCAATATATCATAATATATCTCACGATCCCGATCATCACATATGTTCCTAATGTTCATTAATTCTTCATCCTTATACTCGAATTTCAAAATAGATGGCTCAGATTCTTGAGTTGAGCCATCTATGTCAAATGCAAAATTCAGGGGATAGATGGCTCAACTCCCATTCAAAACAAGTCAGTTGCGCCATCTATGTCCCTAAAAATCTAAAAATGACTTATTTTGTGCAATCTTCTGCGCTGGTTTGCCATAATTTTTCCTCAACATCAAGCTGCCTTTTTGGGACATAGATGGCGCAAGTCCCAAACATGGCAGTTCAGGAAAAGGCCCTCCGGGTCCAGAATCCGGACGGGGAACACAACGGGGAAGCACAACGGGGAAGTACAACGGGGAACACAACGGGGAGACACAGCAAAAAGACACAACGGGGAGACTCAACGGGAAAATGATGGAAAATGAGAAATGTCACGTTTATGGTGGGTAAATAAGAAAACGTTGCTTTTGTGACATATTGACATTTTAAAATTGTGCATATTTGCTTGATAGTTCGATATTTTTTAAAACTGATTTCTATCAATAAATTATGTCCACAATCAATCTTAAAACATTCAGTGGTTCATTTTCAAGATATTGCACTGAAATTTTTAAAGTTTTTTTTTTTAAAAAAAATATTTTTTGTCATAATATGGTGAAAAATGAGATTTCTATCCATAAATTCTGCCCACTATCAGTTTATATCAGTTTTAAAACATTCAGTGGTTCATTTTCATGGTATTGCAATGAAATTTTAAAAGATTTGAATGCGATTTAAGGGGCATAGATGGCGCAATTCATTTTTGAACCCATCGAAAAAAAATTCTTGCGTTTGAATGGGATTTAAGGGACATAGATGGCGCAACTCATTTTTGGATAAAAAATCTAGTGGAATTATATATATATGTATATGTGTATATATATATATATACACAATACAAACATGTGTAATAAACAAGCAAAAATGATCGGACATGTAGTAAACTTAGTTAACAATACCCTTATGTCCATCTACTGGAGTGGCAGTTGCGCCATATGCCTTTTCATTTTAAGGTACGGCGATTTGTTTCTTCAATTGGCCCAATTGGCGGAACTCGTTTTATGTTCCAGCTAAAATAGCGCCGTTTTCTTCCTCACCGCGCGGTGCCATCTTATGGGTATTTTGTTTTTTGAGTTGAGCCATCTAGTTTGAAATATGTGTACATGCAGTGTATATTTATATGAATATCAAACCCAACACAAATATCATATTAATGTTACAGTATGGAATCGCACACACACACACACATTAGTATATATATATACACATGTATATCTCTATATATATATACATATGGGTAAATTATAAAACCTCACTGCTACCTCACTGGACTAATGGCTAGTACGGGGTAACTATCCCAAAACAACCTTATTTCAGGTGAGTGAATTACTATACGTAATTTACCTATAATATATATAATATGTAATATGTAATAACATATATAAGACAATATATGTAACAATATCATATATATAATATATAATATATAATATATATATATGTCAAAGGGAACTAAACGATAGGGCACTTGTCATGTACATACATCACCGTATGTCGAAACGCCGTACTGGCTCAAGTCCCTGCGCGAGGAAAAGTCCGTGCTTTGCCTGCCATGCGGTATTGCCGTCCGGAACTACCAGCGTAACAGGTATCACAGTTCAATATCAACATCCGGAACAAGGATTTATTTGTTCACAGGTTATCAGCCGTAGGGCTCACTTCTCCCGTCGGGAGAGTGGTACCTGCGTGCTGGTAGCCGGACCTTCTGAGCAATTGATTGAGGACGCAAAGGACCAATCAGCTCATCATCGCAAAGATGCAAGGCGGCAGCGGAGATTCGCGCACCACGCAATTTACCTTCAATGAGAACACTGCCATGCCGGTCGAGGAGGTCAATCAATCTTCCCCTGGCGACACGGCAGACAGTGGTGGGATACGCTCAACCCGAACTACACAGTCCGGATGGCAAGTAACATCAAGCAGACGAAGGATATCCACCCAAAGTACACCAAGGTCTTCTCGAAACAGTGCTCGAAGTGATGTTGTCCGCCAAGGGCATCGACCATCTCGAGGACGAACTACTCCAAGGGACAGATCCACCAGGGCCGTAACCGACCGAATTGGTGAGAGGACCGGGGATAGTCGTGTTAAGAGGAGATCAACGGATACTTCTGTGGCTAGTGAACCTATTGCCATGATAGAAGAACTACGGGCACAATGTCAATCCCTACGTAATCAGTCGAACCACATGGAAGCATACGCTGCATCTAGAGATCAACTGATTCATGACATCGAGATCAGATTCACTGAGTATCTTCAGGAACACAACCAGAACGTATTTGATGAGGTCAACGCACTCAATCATAGATTATCATGTTCCGCAAATGAGGTTGCAGAATATCAAGCAGAACTAATGGTAGCATCTCAGGAAGACGAAGGTGCAACAATACGCATCCAAGACCTTGAACGCCGAGGTGCCCTAATGGAACATGGTGCAAGACGGATCCATCAACGTGGTATGGAGATCCAGGAAGAGTACAAGGATGAAGTACACCACCTTCAAGGACTTTTGGGTAATACGGAGGCAAGACTGCAACAACTTCATCAAACCAATGTCTTAACCACCGATATTGCCAATAGACTATACAATGAAGGTCAAGAAATGCAGACAGACTTCCAGAACTCAATCATGGAATATCGTAATCGATCCGAAGTGGCATCCTTTTCTAGCAATCAACTTGAAGTGATTAGCCAACAGCAATCAATTGCAGTTCATGAGTTGTCTGAACGGAATCAGCTATTAAGTGAAGCTTTAGTTCAGTCCCGCAAACAGGCCGAGCTGTATGAAAGCAGTATTGACGAGATCACCAGAGAATCTAGAAAGAAGGTTTTCGAGGCAAATCAGGCCAAATTGGAAAGTGATCTGAAGCATCGAAATACTGAACATGATGCTGTCAGAAGAATTGCATCATACAGGAACCATGAGGCCGAAGCGATATCAACCTGAGGCTTGAATCACAGGCTAGTGCAAATTCGATCGCAAGGGCGGAGCACTATGAAGAGCTCTACACCAACGAGCAGGAGATGAACTGCGAATTAAGGGATGAGATCAAGTTGCAGAACATGAAGTTGCGAAGATCGTTGACTCAGGGCACTACGACCGACGGTCGTGGCCCCGATGAAATGCTTGTTGAAGATCTACGTAATCAAGCCAAAATCGCTCAAATCAGGGTTCAGGATCTAGATCATGAAGTTCATGAATGTTTACAAGAGAACATGTTGTTAAAAGAGAGATTGGCTGAAGTTGCGGATGTAGGGGCGTCGTCCTTCTCCAATGCTGAAGTCCGAACTTTAAGATCTGAACTAGAAAGTGAGCGTAAAATGAAATTGGCTAGTGGTGTTCAACAATATGAGAGATCATGCATGTTCATGGGGGAAATTCAGGATAGGGATGAAAAGATTGGTATCAAGAATTCTGAGATTGTTGACATGAAACGTCACCTAGATGAACTAAGAAAGAGTCTCAAAGATTCTGAAACGTCTATGTCTAGGGTCAGCCCTGATACACTTCCCTATTCGGCAGGCATCCCCAACTATGATCTCGCATCAAGACTGGTCATTGACAAACTGGAGAATGACGTGAGTGAGGCTAACTCGGAGAACGCTATTCTAAAATCTTGGGTTTCGCAAATCGACAAGGAGTTGACCTATGAGACAAATATGGCTCATTCCTACCGCGGACATGCTGGACCTTCTCAACAGCAATCTTCTCAATCGAACAAAAGAATCACCGACCTGCTGAAAGAAGTTGACAACAAGATCGCCGATGGAACTGAGAAGGACTATTACAAGCCTCCGAGCGGATGGGGCGGTCCGCCTGACCTTGATGGACCTCCTGACCCTTTCGGGCCCAATGGTCCAGGACCACCTCCAGAACCTCCTGGTTTGCCTTCAGTTCGAGGATCGCAACGTGATTCAGCAGATGACATCTCCACAGCGGCATACACGGCAGAAGAAGTACCGAGAATGTCAAGACGGGAGGCTGACAAAGTCTATGTTAGCCCATGGCCGAAGCAACAGAATCTTGGAGTTTGGCAATCAGATCTCATCAAGAGTGTTGTCCTTGCCGCAAATGATGGGGACAAAGCTGCATGGGAAGCATGGCTACAGCCGGCTATTCGACCAAACCCTGACATCGAGCTATTGAATGACAGTGGAGGGCAACGATATCAATCAATTGACGCCAAGTTGTCAATTGCATTATCAAACGTGATAGCCCAAGCCGGTGATGTTGCTCGTCATGTAGCAATCAAACTGAGATTGAGAACGCAGAGTCATAGCCGAAGAGGAACCTACGTTATGGGACGAGAAATCTTGG